CCTTCCTCCCTTCCTCCCTCCCTCCCTCCCTCCTTCTTTCCTTCCTCCTTCCTTCCTTCCTTCCCTCCTTCCTCCTTCCCTCCTTCCTTCCTCCCTCCCTCCCTCCTTCCTTCCCTCCTCCCTCCTTCCTTCCTTCCTTCCTTCCTTCCTTCCCTCCTTCCTCCCTCCCTCCCTCCCTCCCTCTCTCCTTCCTCCCTCCCTCCCTCCCTTCCTTTCCTCCCTCTCTCCTTCCTCCCTCCCTCCCTCCCTTCCTTCCCTCCTTCCTTCCTTCCTTCCTTTTCCCTCCCTCCTTCCTTCCTTCCCTCCTTCCTTCCTTCCCTCCTCCCTCCTTCCTCCCTCCCTCCCTCCTTCCTTCCTTCCTTCCCTCCCTCCTTCCTTCCTTCCTTTTCCCTCCTTCCTTCCCTCCTTCCTTCCTTCCTTCCTTTTCCCTCCCTCCTTCCTTCCCTCCTTCCTTCTTTCCTTTTCCCTCCCTCCTTCCTTCCTTCCCTCCCTCCTTCCTTCCTTCCCTCCTTCCTTCCTTCCTTCCCTCCTTCCTTCCTTCTTCCTTCCTTTTCCCTCCCTCCTTCCTTCCTTCCCTCCTTCCTTCCTTCCTTCCTCCTTCCTTCCTTCCCTCCTTCCTTCCTTCCTTCCCTCCTTCCTTCCTTCCTTCCCTCCTTCCTTCCCTCCTTCCTTCCTTCCTTTTCCCTCCCTCCTTCCTTCCTTCCCTCCTTCCCTCCTTCCTTCCCTCCTTCCTCCCTCCCTCCCTTCCTTCCTTCCCTCCTTCCTTCCTTCCTTTTCCCTCCTTTCTTCCTTCCTTTTCCCTCCCTCCTTCCCTCCTTCCTTCCCTCCTTCCTCCCTCCCTCCCTTCCTTCCTTATCTCCTTTCTTCCTTCCTTCCCTCCTTCCTTCCTTCCTTTTCCTTCCTTCCTTCCTTCCTTCCTTCCTTCCTTTTCCCTCCCTCCCTCCCTCCCTCCCTCCTTCCTTCTTTCCTTCCTTTTTCCTTCCTTTTTCCTCCCTCCTTCCTTCCTTCCCTCCCTCCTTCCTTCCCTCCTTCCTCCCTTCCTCCCTCCCTCCTTCCTTCCTTCCTTTTCCCTCCCTCCTTCCTTCCTTCCCTTCTTCCCTCCTTCCTTCCTTCCCTCCTTCCTTCCTTCCTTCCCTCCTTCCCTCCTTCCTCCTTCCCTCCCTCCCTTCCTTCCTTCCTTCCTTCCTTTTCCCTCCCTCCTTCCTTCCCTCCCTCCTTCCTTCCTTCCCTCCTTCCTTCCTTCCTTTTCCCTCCTTCCTTCCTTCTTTCCTTCCTTTTCCCTCCCTCCTTCCTTCCTTCCCTCCTTCCTTCCTTCCTTCCCTCCTTCCTCCCTTCCTCCCTCCCTCCCTCCCTCCTTCTTTCCTTCCTTTTCCCTCCCTCCCTTCCTTCCTTCCCTCCCTCCTTACTTCCCTCCTTCCTTCCTCCCTCCCTCCCTCCCTCCCTCCCTCCTTCCTTCCTTCCTTCCCTCCTTCCTTCCCTCCTTCCTCCCTCCCTCCCTCCCTTCCTTTCCTCCCTCTCTCCTTCCTCCCTCCCTCCCTCCCTTCCTTTCCTCCCTCTCTCCTTCCTCCCTCCCTCCCTCCCTTCCTTTCCTCCCTCTCTCCTTCCTCCCTCCCTCCCTCCCTTCCTTCCTTCCCTCCTTCCTCCCTCCCTCCCTCCCTTCCTTTCCTCCCTCTCTCCTTCCTCCCTCCCTCCCTCCCTTCCTTTCCTCCCTCTCTCCTTCCTCCCTCCCTCCCTCCCTTCCTTCCCTCCCTCCTTCCTTCCCTCCTTCCTCCCTCCCTCCCTCCCTTCCTTTCCTCCCTCTCTCCTTCCTCCCTCCCTCCCGCCTTCCTTCCTTCCTTTCATCGAGACCATAGAGAGGGAAGGGACCTCTCCAGGCGGTTCTGAGGGGACCATAGAGAGGGAAGGGACTGCCCTCTTGCAAGAGACCATAGAGAGGGAAGGCACCCCTCCAGGTCATCCAGCCTGACCCCCTTGGAAGGGACCATAGAGAGGGAAGGGACTTCCCTAGGTCCTCCAGCCTCACCCCCTTGCAAGAGATCATAGAGAGAGAAGGGGCCTTCAGCGTCCACCAATGGGTGGAGGAGACGGATGGCGATGGGATGATCGTCTTGATGATGATGATGATGATGATGACCATGATGATGGCGGCCATGATGATGATGGTGGTGGTCTTGATGATGATGACCATGATGCTATGGTGATGATGAAGGCCACCATCATCATGATGATGATGGTTTTGATGGTCGATGATGATGGTCTTTGATGGCGATGGTGACCATGATGATGATGATGATGTCGGTTGCCATGATGGTGACCATGATGCTCATGATGATGATGTCTATGTCCATCATGATGGTCCTGAGGAGGAGGAGGACCATGATGGTGATGATGGCCCTCAAGTTGATGATGATGATGACCATGATGATCATGTTCTCGATGATGTTGAAGGCCATGATGATGATGACCATGATGGCCATGATGATGACCATGGTGATGATGATGGCCATGATGATGATGGTGCTCATGATCCTGATGGTGATGATGATGGTCATGATGATGATGACCATGGTGATGATGATCGTGGTCATGATCCTGATGGTGATGATGATGATGATGACCACGGTGATGATGATGGTGGTCATGATCCTGATGGTGATGATGATGGTCGTGATGATGATGATGGTCCTCAAGTTGATGTGATGATGGGCATGATCCTGATGATGATGGGCATGATCCTGATGATGGTGGTGGTGGTCCTAAAGTTGATGTGATGATGATGATGGGCACGATCCTGATGATGATGGTCCTTAAGTTGATGTGATGATCATGATGGTCATGATCCTGTTGATGATGATGATGAGGTCCATGATGATGGGCATGATCCAGATGATTGTCCTCAAGTTGATGTGATGATGATGGGCATGATCCTGAGGATGATGGCCCTCAAGTTGATGTGATGATGATGTTGGTCATGATGATGATGATGGTCTTGATGACCATGGTGATGATGATGATGACCATGATGATGATGTCCATGGTGATGATAGTGGTGGTCATGGTGATGATGATGATGATGATGTTGACCATGAAGATGATGATGATGACCGTGATGATGATGGCCATGATGATGATGATGATGATGGCCATGATGATGATGATGACCATGATGATGTCCATGATGATGATGTCCATGGTGATGATGGTGGTGGTCATGATCCTGATGGTGATGATGATGATGATGATGACCATGAAGGTGATGATGATGACCATGATGATGACCATGATGATGATGATGTCCATGATGATGATGTCCATGATGATGATGATGTCCATGATGATGATGATGATGGCCATGATGATCATGTTTTTGATGATGATGTTGACCATGATGACCATGATCTTAATGATGATGATGTCTATGATGATGATGTCCATGATGATGATGATGACCATGATGATGATGATGGCCATGATGATCATGTTTTTGATGATGATGTTGACCATGATGACCATGATCTTAATGATGATGATGGCCATGATGATCATGTTCTCGATCATCATGATGATGATGTTGACCATGATGATGACCATGATGGCCATGATGATGACGACCATGATGGCCATGATGATGACGACCATGATGATACCTTCTCTCCTCCCATAGGCCAGAGCGGCGCCGGCAACAACTGGGCCAAGGGCCACTACACCGAGGGCGCCGAGCTGGTGGACTCCGTCCTGGACGTTGTCCGCAAGGAGGCCGAGTCCTGCGACTGCCTCCAGGGCTTCCAGCTGACCCACTCCTTGGGCGGCGGCACGGGTTCCGGCATGGGGACCTTGCTGATCTCCAAGATCCGAGAGGAGTACCCCGACCGCATCATGAACACCTTCTCGGTGGTCCCCTCCATGGCCAAGGTCTCCGACACGGTGGTGGAAGCCTGCAAGGCCACCTTGAGGGGAGAGCAGGTGGTGGAGGAGACCGATGGGATGGTGGTGGTCATGATGATGATGATGATGATGGTCCTCAAGTTGATGGGATGATGATGTTGGGCATGATGATGATGAGGATGATGATGAGGTCCATGATGATGATGATGATGGTCCTCAAGATGTGATGATGATGATGATGATGATGATGGTCCTCAAGTTGATGTGATGATGATGATGATGTTGGGCATGATCCTGAGGTCCATGATGATGGGCATGATGATGATGATGGTCCTCAAGTTGATGTGATGATGATGATGGTCCTCAAGTTGATGTGATGATGATGATGGGCACCATCCTGATGATGATGGTCCTCAAGTTGATGTGATGATGATGATGATGATGGTCATGATCCTGATGAGGATGATGATGATGATGGTCCTCAAGTTGATGTGATGAGGTCCATGATGATGGGCATGATCCTGATGATGGTCATGATCCTGATGATGATGGTGGTCCTCAAGTTGATGTGATGATGATGATGATGATGTTGGGCATGATCCTGATGATGATGGTCATGATGATGATGATGATGGTCCTCAAGTTGATGTGATGATGGGCATGATCCTGATGATGATGGGCATGATCCTGATGATGGGCATGATGATGATGATGATGGTGGTGGTCCTCAAGTTGATATGATGATGATGGGCATGATCCTGATGATGATGATGTTGGGCATGATCCTGATGATGATGATGATGGTCCTCAAGTTGATGTGATGATGGGCATGATCCTGATGATGATGGTGGTCCTCAAGTTGATGTGATGATGATGATGGGCATGATCCTGATGATGATGGTGGTCCTCAAGTTGATGTGATGATGATGTTGGGCATGATCCTGATGATGATGGTGGTCCTCAAGTTGATTTGATGATGATGATGTTGGGCATGATCCTGATGATGATGGGCATGATCCTGATGATGATGATGGTCCTCAAGTTGATGTGATGATGATGATGATGTAGGGCATGATCCTGATGATGATGGGCATGATCCTGATGATGATGGGCATGGTCCTCAAGTTGATGTGATGATGATCATGATCCTATGATGATGATGATGTTGGTCATGATGATGATGATGATGGTCCTCAAGTTGATGTGATGATGATGATGTTGGGCATGATCCTGATGAGGATGAGGATGATGATGAGGTCCATGATGATGGGCATGATCCTGATGATGATGGTGGTCCTCAAGTTGATATGATGATGATGATGTTGGTCATGATGATGATGATGGTCTTGATGACCATGATGACCATGATGATGATGTCCATGGTGATGATGATGGTGGTCATGATCCTTACGATGATGATGTTGACCATGAAGATGATGATGTCCATGATGATGATGATGACCATGATGATGATGATGGCCATGATGATCATGTTTTTGATGGTGATGTTGACCATGATGACCATGATCTTAATGATGATGATGACCACGATGATCATGTTCTCGATCATGATGATCATGTTGATGGCCATGATCCTGACGATGATGTTGACCATGATGATGATGATGATCACCATCACGATGGTCATGATGACCCCTTCTCTCCTCCCATAGGCCAGAGCGGCGCCGGCAACAACTGGGCCAAGGGCCACTACACCGAGGGCGCCGAGCTGGTGGACTCCGTCCTGGACGTGGTCCGCAAGGAGGCCGAGTCCTGCGACTGCCTCCAGGGCTTCCAGCTGACCCACTCCTTGGGCGGCGGCACGGGTTCCGGCATGGGGACCTTGCTGATCTCCAAGATCCGAGAGGAGTACCCCGACCGCATCATGAACACCTTCTCGGTGGTCCCCTCCCCGAAGGTCTCCGACACGGTGGTGGAACCTTACAACGCCACCCTCTCGGTCCACCAGCTGGTGGAGAACACCGACGAGACCTACTGCATAGACAACGAAGCCCTCTACGACATCTGCTTCCGGACCCTCAAGCTGACCACCCCCACCTACGGGGACCTCAACCACCTGGTCTCGGCCACCATGTCCGGGGTGACCACCTGTCTCCGTTTCCCGGGCCAGCTCAACGCCGACCTCCGCAAGCTGGCGGTCAACATGGTCCCCTTCCCCCGCCTCCACTTCTTCATGCCCGGCTTCGCCCCTTTGACCAGCAGAGGTAGTCAGCAGTACAGAGCCTTGACCGTCCCCGAGTTGACCCAGCAGATGTTCGACGCCAAGAACATGATGGCCGCCTGCGACCCGCGCCACGGCCGCTACCTCACGGTGGCGGCCGTCTTCCGGGGCAGGATGTCCATGAAGGAGGTGGACGAGCAGATGCTGAACGTCCAGAACAAGAACTCCTCCTACTTCGTGGAGTGGATCCCCAACAACGTCAAGACCGCCGTCTGCGACATCCCGCCCCGGGGCCTCAAGATGTCCGCCACCTTCATCGGAAACTCCACCGCCATCCAGGAGCTCTTCAAGAGGATCTCGGAGCAGTTCACGGCCATGTTCAGGAGAAAGGCCTTCCTCCACTGGTACACCGGAGAAGGCATGGACGAGATGGAGTTCACCGAGGCCGAGAGCAACATGAACGACCTGGTCTCGGAGTACCAGCAGTACCAGGACGCCACCGCCGAGGAGGAGGGGGAGTTTGAGGAGGAGGCCGAGGAGGAGGCCGCCTAGGAGGACCCAGAACCACCACAACCAGAGATGTCCATCACCTTCCTGGACACCCATCCCCTTCTTGACCCATCCATGTTGTCCTTCAGATGTTCTCCAGGTGTTTCCTTCCATGTTCTCCTTCCAATGTTCTTTGGATCTTTCCTCAAATGTTGGTTCTCCGTTCAGCTTCTTCAGATGTTCTTCAGATGTTTCCTTCCATGGTGGCTCTCCATTCAGACCTTCCAAGTTCTCCCCAGGCTGTCCTTCAGATGTTCCTCAGATGTTCTTCAGATCTTTCCTCCCATGGTGACCCATGTTCTCCTTCAGATGTGCTTCTGATGTTTCCTCCCATGTTCTTCATATGTTTCTTCCGATGGTGACCTTCCATGTTCTTCCGGTGTTCTTCCGATGTTTCCTTCCATGTTCTCCTTCAGATGTTCTCCAGATGTTTCCTTCAATGTTCTTCTTCAGATGTTCCCTTCCATGTTCTTCCGATGTTCCTCAGATGTTTCCTTCCATGGTGGTCCTCCATCCTGACGTTTCACCTTGCTTCCATGTTCTCACCAGGATGTTCCTCAGATGTTTCCTCCCACGGTGACCCTTCCATCTTCATCAGGTGTTCCTCAGATGGTTCCTTCCATGGTGTCTTTCCATCCTGATGTTCCACCTTGCTTCAAAGTTCTCACCAGGTTCCCTTTCAGATGTTCTTCAGATGTTTCCTCCCGTGGTGACCTTCCATCTTCTCCTTCGGATGTTCTCCAGATGTTTCCTTCCATGGTGACTCTCCATCCTGACCTTCCCCCTTGCTTCCATCTTCTCATCAGCTTCCATCTCGGATTCAGCTCCACCTCGAACCCAAGTCCTTCTTTTCATGGATCCCCAACAACGTGAAGACGGCCGTCTGTGGCCTCCCCCCACATGTCCTCAAGATGTCCACCAACTCCACCGCCATCCAGGAGCTCTTCAAGAGGATCTCGGAGCAGTTCACCGCCATGTTCCGGCGCAAGGCCTTCCTCCACTGGTACACCGGAGAAGGCATGGACGAGATGGAGTTCACCGAGGCCGAGAGCAACATGAACGACCTGGTCTCGGAGTACCAGCAGTACCAGGACGCCACCGCCGAGGAGGAGGGGGAGTTTGAGGAGGAGGCCGAGGAGGAGGCCGCCTAGGAGGACCCAGAACCACCACAACCACACCCATCCATCTTCTCCTTCCGATGTTCCTCAGATGTTCTTCAGATGGTTCCTTCCATGTTCTCCTTCAGATGTTCCTCAGATGTTTCCTTCCATGTTCTTCCGATGTTCCTCAGATGTTTCCTTCCATCTTCTCCTTCAGATGTTTTTCCCATGGTGATCTTCCATGTTCCTCAGATGTTCTTCAGATGTTTTCTTCCATCTTCTCCTTCAGATGTTCTTCAGATGTTCCTCAGATGGTTCCTTCCATGTCCTCCTTCAGATGCTTCCTTCCACATTCTCCTTCAGATGTTCTTCAGATGTTTCCTTCCATGTTCTTCCGATGTTCCTCAGATGTTTCCTTCCATCTTCTCCTTCAGATGTTCCTCCCATGGTGATCTTCCATGTTCTTCAAATGTTCTTCAGATGTTTCCTTCCATGTTCTTCAGATGTTCCTCAGATGTTCTTCAGATGGTTCCTTCCATCTTCTCCAGATGCTTCCTTCCATGTTCTCCTTCAGATGTTCTTCAGATGCTTCCTTCCATGTTCTCCTTCAGATGTTCATCAGATGGTTCCTTCCATGTTCTCCTTCAGATGTTCCTCCCATGGTGACCTTCCATGTTCTTCAAATGTTCTCCAGATGTTCCTTTCCATGGTGGCTCTCCATCCTGACCTTCCATGTTCTCACCAGGTTCTCCTTCAGATGTTCTTTAGATGGTTCCTTCCATGGTGGTTCTCCATTCTGACCTTCCAGGTTCTCACCAGGTTCCCATTCAGATGTTCCTCAGATATTCCACCGATGTTCTTCAGATGTTTCCTTCCATGGTGACCCATCTTCTGCTTCAGATGTTCCTCAGATGTTCTCCAGATGGTTCCTTCCATGGTGGCTTTCCATCCTGACCTTCCCCCTTGCTTCCATCTTCTCACCAGCTTCCATCTCGGATTCAGCTCCACCTCGGACCCAAGTCCTTCCTTTCATGGACCCCCAACAACGTGAAGACGGCCGTCTGCGACATCCCACCACATGTCCTCAAGATGTCCGCCCCCTTCACCGCCAACTCAGAAGAAGCACAACCACCCAGCCTCTCCGTTGACCCATGTTCTCCTTCCAATGTTCCTCAGATGTTCCTTAGATCTTTCCTTCCATGGTGGCTCTCCATGCTGACGTTCCACCTGGGATCCAGCTTCCCCTTCAGATGTTCCTCAGATCTTTCCTTCCATGGTGGCTCTCCATGCTGACGTTCCACCTGGGATCCAGGTTCCCCTTCAGATGTTCCTCAGATGTTCCTTAGATCTTTCCTTCCATGGTGGCTCTCCATGCTGACGTTCCACCTGGGATCCAGGTTCCCCTTCAGATGTTCCTCAGATGTTCCTTAGATCTTTCTTTCCATGGTGGCTCTCCATGCTGACGTTCCACCTGGGATCCAGGTTCCCCTTCAGACGTTCCTCAGATGTTCCTCAGATCTTTCCTTCCATGGTGACTCTTCAGATGTTCTTCAGATGTTCTCCAGATTGTGCCTTCCATGGTGGCTCTCCATCCTGACCTTCCATCTTGGATCCATGTTCTCACCAGGTTCTCCTCCAGATGTTTCCTCCTCCCATGGTGACTTTCCATCTTCATCAGATGTTCCTCAGATGGTTCCTCCCACAACATTCTCCTCCCAACAGCTCTGCTTTCCTAGAAGGTCACCTCTCCACGCTCTTCCTGGTTTCCTAGAAGGTCTCCGTGGTCCTCCGCGGCGTTCTTCTCCTCCCGACGACTCCTGTTTCCTAGAAGGTCCTCCTGGTGTTCTACCAACAGGTCCTGTTTCCTAGAAGGTCCCCTCTCCCATCAGTCCTCCACAACGTTCTCTCGACAGCTCCTGTTTCCTAGAAGGTCCCCTCTCCCCTTGGTCCTCCACAACGTTCTCTCGACAGCTCCTGTTTCCTAGAAGGTCACCTCTCCACGCACTTCCTGGTTTCCTAGAAGGTCCTCCATGATGTTCTTCTCCTCCTGACTGTTGTTTCCTAGAAGGTCCTCCAGGACGTTCATCACCTCCAGACTTCCTAGAAGGTCACCTCTCTACGCTCTTCTTTGCTTTCCTAGAAGGTCACCTCTTCCCTCGGATGGCAGCTCTCTACGCTCTTCCTAGAAGGTCACCTCAGTCTTCCAAGACGGCTCCTGTTTCCTAGAAGGTCACCTCTCCCCTCGGAAGGAACCTTTCGACGCTCTTCCTGGTTTCCTAGAAGGTCACGACTCGGTCCTCCAAGGCGTTCTCCCGACTGCTGTTTCCTAGAAGGTCACCTCTCGAGGCTCTTCCTGGTTTCCTAGAAGGTCACGACTCGGTCCTCCAAGGGGTTCTCCTGACTGCTGCTTCCTAGAAGGTCGCCTCTCGACGCTCTTCCTGGTTTCCTAGAAGGTCACGACTTGGTCCTCCAAGGCGTTCTCCCGACTGCTGTTTCCTAGAAAGTCACCTCTCGATGCTCTTCCTGGTTTCCTAGAAGGTCACGACTTGGTCCTCCAAGGCCTTCTCCCGCCTGCTGTTTCCTAGAAAGTCACCTCTCGATGCTCTTCCTGGTTTCCTAGAAGGTCACGACTTGGTCCTCCAAGGCCTTCTCCCGCCTGCTGTTTCCTAGAAGGCCGCCTCTCGACGCTCTTCCTGGTTTCCTAGAAGGTCACTCACTACTTGGTCCTCCAAGGCTTTCTCCCGACTGCTGTTTCCTAGAAGGTCACCTCTCGACGCTCTTCCTGGTTTCCTAGAAGGTCACAACTCGGTCCTCCAAGGCGTTCTCCCGACTGCTGTTTCCTAGAAGGTCACCTCTCGACGCTCTTCCTGGTTTCCTAGAAGGTCACGACTTCGTCCTCCAAGGCGTTCTCCCGACTGCTGTTTCCTAGAAGGTCGCCTCTCGACGCTCTTCCTGGTTTCCTAGAAGGTCACGACTTGGTCCTCCAAGGCGTTCTCCCGACTGCTGTTTCCTAGAAGGTCACCTCTCGACGCTCTTCCTGGCTCCCTAGAAGGTCACGACTTGGTCCTCCAAGGCGTTCTCCCGACTCCTGTTTCCTAGAAGGTCCTCATGATGTTCTGCCAACAGCTCCTGTTTCCTAGAAGGTCACCTCTACAGTCCTCCAGGACGTTCTCCTCCTCCTGTTTGTTTCCTAGAAGGTCACCTCTTCCCTCGGAAGGCAGCTCTCTACGCTCTTCCTAGAAGGTCACCTCAGTCTTCCAAGATGGCTCCTGTTTCCTAGAAGGTCACCTCTCCCCTCGGAAGGAACCTCTCGGCACTCTTCCTGGTTTCGTAGAAGGTCTCCGTGGTCCTCCACGACGTTCTCCTCCTCCCGACGACTCCTGTTTCCTAGAAGGTCCTCATGGTGTTCTACCAACAGCTCCTGTTTCCTAGAAGGTCGCCTCTACGGTCCTCCAGGACATTCTCCTCCCCGGTTGGTTTCCTAGAAGGTCACCTCTCGACGCTCTTCCTGGTTTCCTCGACGTTCTCCCAACGACTCCTGTTTCCTAGAAGGTCGCCTCTACGGTCCTCCAGGACGTTCTCCTCCGGTTGGTTTCCTAGAAGGTCCCCTCTCGACGCTCTTCCTGCTTTCCTCGACGTTCTCCCAACGACTCCTAGAAGGTCACCTCTACAGTCCTCCAGGACGTTCTCCTCCTCCGGTTGGTTTCCTAGAAGGTCACCTCTCCCCTCGGTCCTCCATCCCGGGGTCCCCTCCCTCCCCGTTTCTCTGTGGTTGTGATGTCATTGTTTTGGGCGGCCAATAAAAAGCCTCGTTTCATTATTATTATTATTTTTTATTGGTTTTCTCTCAACCCTCCCGCTGCCTCCGCTGGAGCTCCGCGAAGTAGGCCTGGCGGGTGCTGTTGCCAAAGGTCTGGGCGTAGTTGTCGCGGATGGCTGGGGGGAGAGAGGAAAATAGAAAATAAATATAAATATAAATATAAGTATAAATAATAATAATAATAATAATATAAATAATATAAATAATAATATAAATGTAAATAAAAAATAATATTATATATATATATATATATATATGTTGCGGATCGATGGGGGAGAGGAAAATAGAATATAAATATAAATATAAATAATAATATAAACAATAATAATATAAATAATAATATAAATGTAAATAAGAAATAATAATATATATTAATAATATATATATATGTGTGTGTGTGTGTGTGTCAGAGGGGAAAGTTGTGGCGGATGGCTGGGGGGGAGAGGAAAATAGAAAATAAATATAAATATAAGTATAAATAATAATATTAATAATAATAATAATAATAATAATATAAATAATATAAATAATAATATAAATAATAATATAAATGTAAATAAAAAATAATATTTTATATATATATATATATATATATATATATGTATATATATATATGTTGCGGATCGATGGGGGAGAGGAAAATAGAATATAAATATAAATATAAATATAAATAATAATATAAACAATAATAATATAAATAATAATATAAATGTAAATAAGAAATAATAATATATATTAATAATATATATATATGTGTGTGTGTGTCAGAGGGGAAAGTTGTGGCGGATGGCTGGGGGGGAGAGAGGAAAATAGAAAATAAATATAAATATAAGTATAAATAATAATATTAATAATAATAATAATATAAATAATATAAATAATATAAATAATATAAATAATAATATAAATAATATAAATCTAAATAAAAAATAATATTATATATATATATATATATATATATATATATATATATATATATGTATATATATATATGTTGCGGATCGATGGGGGAGAGGAAAATAGAATATAAATATAAATATAAATTATACTATAAACATTAATAATATAAATAATAATATAAATGTAAATAAGAAATAATAATATATATTAATAATATATATATATGTGTGTGTGTGTCAGAGGGGAAAGTTGTGGCGGATGGCTGGGGGGGAGAGAGGAAAATAGAAAATAAATATAAATATAAGTATAAATAATAATATTAATAATAATAATAATATAAATAATATAAATAATACAAATAATAATATAAATAATATAAATGTAAATAAAAATAATATTATATATATATATATATATATATATATATATATATATATATATGTTGCGGATCGATGGGAGAGGAAAATAGAATATAAATATAAATATAAATAATAATATAAACAATAATAATATAAATAATAATATAAATGTAAATAAGAAATAATAATATATATTAATAATATATATATGTGTGTGTGTGTGTGTGTCAGAGGGGAAAGTTGTCGCGGATGGCTGGGGGAGAGGAAATAGAAAATAAATATAAATATAAATATAAACAATAATATAAATAATATAAATAATATAAATAATATAAATATAAATAAAAATAATAATATATTTATTTTATATATATATATATATATAGTATGTATGTTATGGATCGCTGGGGGGAGAGGAAAATAGAAAATAAATATAAATGTAAATAATAATATAAATATAAATAATAATATAAATAAAAAATAGTAACATATTATTTATATATATGTATGTATGTGTGTGTGTGTGTGTATATATATATATATATATATATATATATATATATATAAAAATTTCAGCGCGGAAAGTTGTCACGGATGGCGGGGGGGGGGAGAGGAAAATAGAAAATAAATATAAATATAAATAATAATATAAATAATAATAATATAAATAATAATATAAATGTAAATAAAAATAATAATATATATTATTTATATATATATATATATCTATATATAATGCGGATCGCTGGGGAGAGGAAAATAGAATATAAATATAAATGTAAATAATAATATAAATAGAAATAATAATATAAATATAAATAATAAATAGTAACATATATCTATATCTATATCTATCTATCTATCTATCTATCTATATATATATATATAAATTTCAGAGGGGAAAGTTGTTGCGGATGGCTGGGGGGGAGAAACTTAGAAAATAAATATAAATATATAATAATAGTAAAAATAATAATAATAATAATAATAATAATAATAAATATATTATATTACATATATATGTGTCAGAGGGGAAAGTTGTTGTGGATCGAAAGAGCCAAATATAAATATAAATATAAATATAAATATAAATATAAATATAAATAATAATATAAATATAAATAAAAAGTAATAATATATATATATATATATATATATATATATATATATAAATGGGATTTTGGAGTGGGAAATTACAGAAATAAAGGACATTTCTATGGGATTTTCGAGTGGAAAAATACAGGGGAAAATGGGATTTTTGGGTGGAAAAATATACCAAAAATGACATTTCTATGGGATTTTGGAGTGGAAAAATACAGGGGAAAATGGGATTTTTGGGTGGGAAAATATACCAAGAATTACATTTCTATGGGATTTTCGAGTGGAAAAATACAGAAAGAAATGACATTTCTATGGGATTTTAGAGTGGAAAAATACGGGGGGAAATGGGATTTTCGAGTGGGAAATTACAGAAATAAAGGACATTTCTATGGGATTTTAGAGTGGAAAAAAACGGGAAAATGGGATTTTGGAGTGGAAAAATCCCCCCAAAATGACATTTCTATGGGATTTTAGAGTGGAAAAATCCAGGGGAAAATGGGATTTTCGGGTGGAAAAATATACCAAAAATTACATTTCTATGGGATTTTGGAGTGGGAATATACAGGGGAAAATGGGATTTTCGAGTGGAAAAATACAGGAAAAAATGACATTTCTATGGGATTTTCGAGTAGAAAAAAAAGGGAAAATGGGATTTTTGGGTGGAAAAATACAGGGGAAAATGGGATTTTCGAGTGGGAAAATCCAGGGGGAAATGGGATTTTTGGGTGGAAAAATATACCAAAAATGACATTTCTATGGGATTTTGGAATGGAAAAATACAGGGGAAAATGAGATTTTCGGGTGGAAAAATCCCCCCAAAATGACATTTCTATGGGATTTTGGAATGGAAAAATCCCCCCAAAATGACATTTCTATGGGATTTTGGAGTGGAAAAATACAGGGGAAAATGGGATTTTTGGGTGGGAAAATCCCCCCAAAATGACATTTCTATGGGATTTTGGAATGGAAAAATACCCCAAAAATGACATTTCTATGGGATTTTGGAATGGAAAAATACCCCCAAAATGACATTTCTATGGGATTTTGGAGTGGAAAAATTCAGAAATAAATGACATTTTTAATGGGATTTTTGGGTGGAAAAATATACCAAAAATTACATTTCTATGGGATTTTCGAGTGGAAAAATACAGGGGAAAATGGGATTTTCGAGTGGGAAAATCCAGGGGAAAATGGGATTTTTGAGTAGAAAAATACAGGGGAAAATGGGATTTTGGAGTGGGAAATTACAGGAAAAAATGACATTTCTATGGGATTTTCGAGTGGGAAAAAAAGGGAAAATGGGATTTTTGGGTGGAAAAATACAGGGGAAAATGGGATTTTGGAGTGGAAAAATACAGGGGAAAATGGGATTTTTTGGTGGAAAAATCCAGGCGAAAATGGGATTTTTGGGTGGGAAAATCCAGGGGGAAATGGGATTTTTGGGTGGAAAAATAAAGGGGAAAATGGGATTGTTGGGTGGAAAAATGAAGGGAAAATGGATTTTGGAGTGGGAAAATACAGGGAAAATGGGATTTTTGTGTGGGAAAATACAGGGGGAAATGGGATTTTTGGGTGGAAAAATATACCAAAAATGACATTTCTATGGGATTTTTTAGTGGGAAAATCCAGGGGAAAATGGGATTTTTGGGTGGGAAAATCCAGGAAAAAATGACATTTCTATGGGATTTTCGAGTAGAAAAATGGGATTTTAGAGTGGACAAATACAGGGAAAAATGACATTTCTATGGGATTTTTGAGTGGAAAAAAAAGGGAAAATGGGATTTTTGGGTGGAAAAATATACCAAAAATGACATTTCTATGGGATTTTAAAGTGGGTAAATCCAGGGGAAAATGGGATTTTGGAGTGGAAAAATACAGGGGGAAATGGGATTTTTGGGTGGAAAATTACAGAAAGAAATGACATTTCTATGGGATTTTCGAGTGGAAAAAAAAGGGAAAATGGGATTTTTGGGTGGAAAAATACAGGGGAAAATGAGATTTTTGAGTGGAAAAATACAGGAAAAAATGACATTTCTATGGGATTTTCGAGTAGAAAAATGGGATTTTAGAGTGGAAAAATACAGGGAAAAATGACATTTCTATGGGATTTTCGAGTGGAAAAATACAGGGGAAAATGGGATTTTTGGGTGGAAAAATATACCAAAAATGACATTTCTATGGGATTTTCGAGTGGAAAAATACAGAAATAAATGACATTTCGATGGGATTTTCGAGTGGAAAAATCCAGGGGAAAATGGGATTTTGGAGTGGGAAAATCCAGGGGGAAATGGGATTTTTGGGTGGAAAAATATACCAAAAATGACATTTCTATGGGATTTTAGAGTGGACAAATACAGGGGAAAATGGGATTTTCGAGTGGTAAATTACAGAAATAAAGGACATTTCTATGGGATTTTCGAGTGGAAAAATACAGAAATAAATGACATTTCTATGGGATTTTCGAGTGGAAAATTACAGAAATAAATGACATTTCTATGGGAAATCCAATAGACTTACTCGGCACGAAACCCGTATAGAAAGGCATTAATCCTCCGCTGGTGTAAATCTGGTTGTTCGGCCAATAGGTGCTGGGCAGGCGCTTCCCAAAACTATACATTGGACTCCTCAGCATTTCCTGCGGGAGAAAAGGCGGGTTCAGGCGCCGGGAGTTGTAGCGCGCGGCGCCGCCTCCCTCGAACCCGGCTCCGAAAGCTGGGTTAGGAGTGGAGATAAGGATGTTTGGAACCTGGGTTCGGAAAGGTGGCGCCGGATTTGGGAGTTGTAGCGCGCGGCGCCGGGTGGATTTGAACCCGGATCCGGGCTTTGAAATCTGGGGAGGGATGTCTTGAACCCGGATCCCTCCCAGTAGGAAGAAAGTGATGGCTGGCGCCAGCTCTGGGAGTTGTAGCGCGAGGTGTGCCTGGGAGTTGTAGCGCCTGGCGCTGGGTGGATTTGAACCCGGATCCGGGCTTTGAAATCCGGGGAGGGATGTCTTGAACCCGGATCCCTCCCGATAGGTAGAAAGCGATGGCTGGCGCCAGCTCTGGGAGTTGTAGTGCAGGGTGTTGGGGTGGGCTTGCCTGGCTCGAACCCGGATCCGGGCCTTGAAATCCTGGACCCGGGTCCAAGAACGCGGGGAGAAATCAGTGCTTTGGGAGTTGTAGCGCAGGGTGTTGGGAGTTGTAGCGCAGGGTGTTGGGTTGGGGTTGTCTGGCTCGAACCCGGATCCGGGCGAAGGGATCATTAGAACTCGGGTTCCTCCCTGCAGGTAGAAAGAGATGCGTGGCGCCAGGTTTGGGAGTTGTAGCGCGCGGCGCCGGGAGTTGTAGCGCGCGGCGCCAGGTTGCGGTGTTGCCTGGCTTGAACCCGGATCCAGGCCTTGAAATCCTGGACCCGGGTCCCAGAACGCAGGGAGAAATCCGTGCTTTGGGAGTTGTAGCGCGCGGCGCTGGGAGTTGTAGCGCGCGGTGCTGGGAGTCGTAGCACAGGGTGTTGGGCTTGCCTGGCTTGAACCCGGATCCAGGCCTTGAAATCCTGGACCCGGGTCCCGGTACGCAGGGAGAATTCCGTGCGTTGGGAGTTGTAGCGCGCAGCGCTGGGAGTTGCAGCGCGGTGCTGGGAGTCGTAGCACAGGGTGTTGGGCTTGCCTGGCTTGAACCCGGAACCAGGCCTTGAAATCCTGGACCCGGGTCCCAGAACGCGGGGAGAAATCCTTGCTTTGGGAGTTGTAGCGCACAGTGCTGGGAGTTGTAGCGCAGGGTGTTGGGGTGCGGTCTTGCCTGGCTTGAACCCGGATCCAGGCCTTGAAATCCTGGACCCGGGTCCCAGAACGCAGGGAGAAATCCGTGCTTTGGGAGTTGTAGCGCGCGGCGCTGGGAGTTGTAGCGCGCGGTGCTGGGAGTCGTAGCACAGGGTGTTGGGCTTGCCTGGCTTGAACCCGGATCCAGGCCTTGAAATCCTGGACCCGGGTCCCAGAACGCAGGGAGAAATCCATGCTTTGGGAGTTGTAGCGCGCGGTGCTGGGAGGTGTAGCGCGCGGCGCTGGGAGTTGTAGCGCAAGGTGCGGGGTTGTCTGGCTTGAACCCGGATCCAGGCCTTGAAATCCTGGACCCGGGTCCCAGAACGCAGGGAGAAATCCGTGCTTTGGGAGTTGTAGCGCGTGGCGCTGGGATTTGTAGCGCAGGGTGTTGGGTTGCGGTGTTGCCTGCCTTGAACCCGGATCCAGGCCTTGAAATCCTGGACCCGGGTCCCAGAACGCAGGGAGAAATCCATGCTTTGGGAGTTGTAGCGCACGGCGCTGGGAGTTGTAGCGCACGGCGCTGGGAGTTATAGCGCAAGGTGCGGGGTTGTCTGGCTCGAACCCGGATCCAGGCCTTGAAATCCTGGACCCGGGTCCAAGAACGCAGGGAGAAATCCATGCTTTGGGAGTTGTAGCGCACGGTTTTGGGAGTTGTAGCGCCGGCGCCGGGTTGTCTGGCTCGAACCCGGATCCAGGCTTTGAAATCTGCATAGGGATCTGGTGAACCCGGGTTCTTCCCTGCAGGTAGAAAGCGATGGCTGGCGCCAGCTCTGGGAGTTGTAGCGCGAGGTGTGCCTGGGAGTTGTAGCGCCTGGCGCTGGGTGGATTTGAACCCGGATCCGGGCCTTGAAATCTGGGGAGGGATGTCTTGAACCCGGCTCCCTCCCCATAGGTAGAAATCAATGGGCGCCGCTGGGAGTTCTAGAGCCGGCGCCCGGTCATCCATCCTGACCCCGAACCCGGTCAGGGGAGGAGATGGTGAAGGGATCTTTTGAACCCGGGTCCCTCCCTGCTGGGAGAAATCAAAGGCCTGGGAGTTGTAGCGCGCGGCAACCCCGGGAGTTCTAGCATCTAGCTTGAACCCGGATCCAGGCCTTGAACCTGGCGCCAGGCCTGGGAGTTGTAGCGCGCAGCTTTGGGAGTTGTAGCATCTAGCTTGAACCCGGATCCAGGCCTTGAACTCAATGCCTGGCGCCAGACCTGGGAGTTGTAGCGCGCAGCTTTGGGAGTTGTAGCATCTAGTTTGAACCCGGATCCAGGGTTTGAGCCTGGCGCCAGGCCTGGGAGTTGTAGCGCGCAGCAACCCCGGGAGTTATAGCATGCGCCTGGCAGGTCATCTCGCTTGAACCCGGATCCAGGCCTTGAACTCAATGCCCGGCGCCAGGCCTGGGAGTTGTAGCACGTGGCGGCGCCGGGAGTTGTAGCGCGCGGCGCCGCCGGGAGTTCTAGCATGCGCCTGGCAGGTCATCTCGCTTGAACCCAGATCCAGGCTTTGAACTCAATGCCTGGCGCCAAGCCTGGGAGTTGTAGCGCGCAGCTTTGGGAGTTGTAGCATCTAGCTTGAACCCGGATCCAGGCCTTGAACCTGGCGCCAGGCCTGGGAGTTGTAGCGCGCAGCTTTGGGAGTTGTAGCATCTAGCTTGAACCCGGATCCAGGCCTTGAACCTGGCGCCAGGCCTGGGAGTTGTAGCGCGCAGCTTTGGGAGTTGTAGCATCTAGTTTGAACCCGGATCCAGGCCTTGAACCTGGCGCCAGGCCTGGGAGTTGTAGCGCGCAGCTTTGGGAGTTCTAGCATCTAGTTTGAACCCGGATCCAGGCCTTGAAATCGATACCTGGCGCCAGGCCTGGGAGTTGTAGCGCGCAGCTTTGGGAGTTGTAGCGCGCGCCTGGAATTTGAAATCTCGGGAGGCGAAGGGATCTCTTGAACCCGGCTCCCTCCCTGCAGGTAGAAACCAATGGCCTGGGAGTTGTAGCGCGCGGCGCCGCCGGGAGTTCTAGCATGCGCCTGGCAGGTCATCTCGCTTGAACCCAGATCCAGGCCTTGAACTCAATGCCTGGCGCCAGGCCTGGGAGTTGTAGCGCGCGGCAACCCCGGGAGTTCTAGCATCCGGCTTGAACCCGGATCCAGAACTCAAGGCCTGGCGCCAGGCCTGGGAGTTGTAGCGCGCAGCTTTGGGAGTTGTAGCGTGCAGCTTTGGGAGTTGTAGCGCGCGCCTTGGTGCGTCATCTGGATCTTTTTGAACCCGGGATCTTTTGAACCCGGCTCCCTCCCTGCAGGTGGATATCAATGGCCCGGGAGTTGTAGCGCGCGGCGGCGCCGGGAGTTGTAGCGCGCCTGCACCTGGTTGCGGTCGAAGTCGTCCATGGCGTCCTTGACCCCGGCGGTGTAGTTTTCTCCCATGATCCAGGGGAAGCGCGGGATGTAGCCGGTGTAGCCTGCGGGCGGGAAACGTAGTTTGGAGGGCGCCGGGTTGGAGCCCGCCAGGAGGAATCCGGAAGAGGAAACTAGAAATCCCAGAAAGTTCTAGAAATTCAGGGAGGAGAAAACTAGAAATCCCAGAAAGCTTTAGAAATTCAGGAAATTTCAGAAAGCTCTAGAAATCTAGAAAATTCAGGGGAGGAAACTAGAATTCCCAGGAAGGAAATACTAGAATTCCCAAGAAGAAATCTAGAAATTCAGGGAAGGAAACTAGAATTCCCAGGAAGGAAATACTAGAATTCCCAAGAAGAAATCTAGAAATTCAGGGAAGGAAACTATAATTCCCGTTAAGGAAATACTAGAATTCCCAAGAAGAAATCTAGAAATTCAGGGAAGGAAACTAGAATTCCCAGGAAGGAAATACTAGAATTCCCAAGAAGAAATCTAGAAATTCAGGGAAGGAAACTAGAATTCCCGGGAAGGAAATACTAGAATTCCCAAGAAGAAATCTAGAAATTCAGGGAAGGAAACTAGAATTCCCGGGAAGGAAATACTAGAATTCCCAAGAAGAAATCTAGAAATACACTGAAGGAAACTAGAATTCCCAGGAAGGAAATACTAGAATTCCCAAGAAGAAATCTAGAAATTCAGGGAAGGAAACTAGAATTCCGGAAGGAAATACTAGAATTCCCAGGAAGAAATCTAGAAATTCAGGGAAGGAAACTAGAATTCCCAGGAAGGAAATACTAGAATTCCCAAGAAGAAATCTAGAAATTCAGGGAAGGAAACTAGAATTCCCAGGAAGGAAATACTAGAATTCCCAAGAAGAAATCTAGAAATTCAGGGAAGGAAACTAGAATTCCCGGGAAGGAAATACTAGAATTCCCAAGAAGAAATCTAGAAATTCAGGGAAGGAAACTAGAATTCCCAGGAAGGAAATACTAGAATTCCCAAGAAGAAATCTAGAAATTCAGGGAAGGAAACTAGAATTCCCGGGAAGAAATCTAGAAATTCAGGGGAGGAAACTAGAGTTCCCAGGAAGGAGGAAACTAGAATTCCCAGAAAGTTCTAGAAATTCAGGGAAGGAGGAAACTAGAATTCCCAGGAAGAAATCTAGAGATTCAGGGAAGGAAACTAGAATTCCCAGGAAAAACTAGAATTACCAGGAAGGAGGAAACTAGAATTCCCAAACTAGAAATCCCAGGAAGGAGGAGACTAGAATTCCCAGAAAGTTCTAGAAATTCAGGGAAGGAGGAAACTAGAATTCCCAGGAAGAAATCAGGGAAGGAAACTAGAATTCCCAGGAAGGAAAAACTAGAATTCCCAGAAAGAAATCTAGAAATTCAAGGAAGGAGGAAACTAGAATTCCCAGGAAGGTGGAACTAAAATTCCCAGGAAGGAGGAAGCTAGAATTTCCAGGAAGGAGGAACTAGAATTCCCAGGAAGGAGGAAGCTAGAATTCCCAAACTAGAAATCCCAGGAAGGAGGAAACTAGAATTCCCAAACTAGAAATCCCAGGAAGGAGGAAACTAGAATTCCCAAACTAGAAATCCCAGGAAGGAGGAAGCTAGAATTCCCAGGGAGGAAACTAGAAATCCCAGAAAGTTCTAGAAATTCAGGGAAGGAGGAAACTAGAATTCCCAGGAAGAAATCAGGGAGGAAACTAGAATTCCCAGGAAGAAATCAGGGAGGAAACTAGAATTCCCAGGAAGGGAAAACTAGAATTCCCAGGAAGAAATCTAGAGATTAAGCGGAGGAAACTAGAATTCCCAGGAAGAAATCCAGAAATTCAGGGAAGGAAACTAGAATTCCCAGGGAGATCCAGGAATTCAGGGGAGGAAACTAGAGTTCCCAGTAAAGAGGAAACTAGAATTCCCAGGAAGAAATCAGGGAGGAAACTAGAATTCCCAGGAAGGAGGAAACTAGAATTCCCAAACTAGAAATCCCAGAAAGTTCTAGAAATTCAGGGAAGGAAAAACTAGAATTCCCAGGAAGAAATCAGGGAGGAAACTAGAATTCCCAGGAAGGGAAAACTAGAATTCCCAGGTACAAATTGGGGCATTTCTGCCAGAAAACTGGAATTCCCAGGAAGGAGGAAACTAGAATTCCCAGGAAGGAATCTAGAAATTCAGGGGAGGAAACTAGAATTCCCAGGGAGGAGGAAACTACAATTCCCAGGAAGAGGAAACTAGAATTCCCAAACTAGAAATCCCAGGAAGGAGTAAACTAGAATTCCCAGGAAGAAATCTAGAAATTCAGGGAAGGAAACTAGAATTCCCAGGGAGGAGGAAACTACAATTCCCAGGAAGAGGAAACTAGAATTCCCAGAAAGTTCTAGAAATTCTGGGAAGGAGGAAACTAGAATTCCCAGGAAGGAGGAAACTAGAATTCCCAGGAAAACTAGAAATCCCAGGAAGGCGGAAACTAGAATTCCCAGGAAAACTAGAATTCCCAGGAAGGAGGAAACTAGAATTCCCAGGGAAACTAGAAATCCCAGGAAGGAGGAAACTAGAATTCCCAGGAAGGAGGAAACTAGAAATCCCAGGAAGGAGGAAACTAGAATTCCCAGGAAGAAATCTAGAAATTCAGGGGAGGAAACTAGAATTCCCAGGAAAGAATCTAGAAATTCAGGGGAGGAAACTAGAATTCCCAGGAAAAACTAGAATTCCCAGGAAGGAAAAACTAGAATTCCCAGGAAGAAATCTAGAAATTCAGAGAAGGAAACTAGAATTCCCAGGAAGGAGGAAGCTAGAATTCCCAAGAAGGAGGAAACTAGAATTCCCAAACTAGAAATCCCCGAAAGGGGAGGAAATTCAGGGGAGGAAACTAGAGTTTCCAGTAAAGAGGAAACTAGAATTCCCAGGAAGGAGGAAACTAGAATTCCCAGGAAGGAAAAACTAGAATTCCCAGGTACAAATTGGGGCATTTCTGCCAGAAAACTAGAATTCCCAGGAAATAGGAAACTAGAATTCCCAAACTAGAATTCCCAGGAAGGAGGAAAGTAGAATTCCCAGAAAGTTCTAGAAATTCAGGGAAGGAGGAAACTAGAATTCCCAGGAAGGAAAAACTGGAATTCCCAGGAGAAATCTAGAAATCCAGGGCTGTTCTAATTCCAAGGAGGAGAGATCTAGAAATCCCTGCCAGAAATCTAGTGTTCTCTAGAAATCCCAACAAGGAGAAATCTAGAAATCCCGGGAAGGAGAGATGTGGAAATCTCCGGAAGGAGAGATCTGGAAATCCCGGGAAGGAGAGATCTGGAAATCCCGGGAAGGAGAGATCTGGAAATCCCGGGAAGAAGAGATCTAGAAATCTCTGCCAGGAGAAATCTAGAAATCCAGGGCTGTTCTAATTCCAAGTAGGAGAGATCTAGAAATCCCTGCCAGAAATCTAGTGATCTCTAGAAATCTAGAAATCCCAACAAGGAGAAATCTAGAAATCCTGGGAAGGAGAAATCTAGAAATCCTGGGAAGGAGAGATCTAGAAATCCTGGGAAGGAGAGATCTAGACATCCTGGGAAGGAGAGATCTAGAAATCCTGGGAAGGAGAAATCTAGACATCCTGGGAAGGAGAGATCTGGAAATCCTGGGAAGGAGAGATCTAGAAATCCTGGGAAGCAGAAATCTAGAAATCCTGGGAAGGAGAGATCTGGAAATCCCTGCAAGGAGAAATCTAGAAATCCCCGGAAGGAGAGATCTAGAAATCCCCGGAAGGAGAGATCTAGAAATCCTGGGAAGGAGAGATCTAGAAATCCCCGGAAGGAGAGATCTGGAAATCCCCGGAAGGAGAAATCTAGAAATCCTGGGAAGGAGAGATCTAGAAATCCCTGCAAGGAGAAATCTAGAAATCCTTGGAAGGAGAGATCTAGAAATCCTGGGAAGGAGAGATCTAGGAAGCCCCCCAGGGAGAAATCTAGACCTCCCTGCAAAGAGAAATCTAGAAATCCCTAGAAGAAGACCGATGGAAATCTCCGCCAGGAGAAATGGAGAGATCCCTGCCAGGAGATCTCTAGAAATCTCTTTTGCCTCTGAGCAGTTTGACCCCGCAAGGAGAGATCTAGAAATCCCTGCCAGTGATCTCGAAATCCCGAGAAGATGATATATAGAAATCTATGCCAGAGAAATCTAGTCATCCCGGGAAGGCGGGATCTAGAAATCTCCGGAAATCTCGAAATCCTCGCAAGGAGAAATCTAGTCGTCCCAGGAAGGCGGGATCTAGAAATCTCTGGAAATCTCGAAATCCTCACAGGGAGAAATCTAGTCGTCCCGGGAAGGCGGGATCTAGAAATCTCCGGAAATCTCAAAATCCTCACAAGGAGAGATCTAGTCATCCCGGGAAGGCGGAATCTAGAAATCTCTGGAGATCTCGAAATCCCTGCAAAGAGAAATCTAGAAAATGTGTTTCTGAAAGAGGGTGGAGCTTTCTGGGTTGGGGGCGGGGTTTCTGGGGAGTGGGCGGGGCTTCTGGAGGAAGTGGGCGGGGCTTCTGCAGGAAGTGGGCGGGGCCATCCCAGGAAGGAGGGATTTAGAAATCCTTGCAGGAGAAATATAGGGATTTCTGCTTGGGGGCGGGGCTTCTAGAGGAAGTGGGCGGGGCCATCCCAGGAAGGAGAAAATTAGGGATTTCCGGTTGGAGGCGGGGCTTCTGGAGGAAGTGGGCAGGGCCATCCCAGGAAGGAGGGATCTAGAAATCCTTGCATGAGAAATCTAGGGATTTCTGGTTGGAGGCGGGGCTTCTGGAGGAAGTGGGCGGGGCCATCCCAGGAAGATCTAGAAATCCTTGCAGGAGAAATCTAGGGATTTCGGGTTGGGGGCGGGGCTTCTGGAGGAAGTGGGTGGGGCCATCCCAGGAAGGAGAAAATTAGGGATTTTCGATTGTGGGCGGGGCTTCTGGAGGAAGTGGGCGGGGCCATCCCAGGAAGGAGAGATCTAGAAATCCTTGCAGGCGAAATCTAGGGATTTCCGGTTGGGGGCGGGGCTTCTGGAGGAAGGGGTGGGGCTTCTGGAGGAAGTGGGCGGGGCCATCCCAGGAAGGAGGAATCTAGGGATTTCTGCTTGTGGGCGGGGCTTCCGGGGGAGTGGGTGGGGCTTCTGGAGGAAGGGGAGGGGCCACCCCAGGAAGGAGAAATCTAGGGATTTCCGGTTGGGGCGGGGCTTCTGGAGGAAGGGGCGGGGCCTACCGGAAATGGCCTTCCTCTGGACCAGGTTGGGGGCGTCCATCTTGGGGGTGCGGTCAAAGCGGCAGATGTCCGTCGTCGTCTCGGTGGGCGGAGGGAGGGGCGTGGCCTCGATCCGGGTCGTCTGGGGGCGGAGTTAGGGAGAGGGGAGGAGTCAGTGAGAGGGAAGCTCCGCCCTCCCCAGATTTCCCTGCAAGGAGAAATCTAGAAAACCCACCAAGAAATAAAAATCCCTGCAAGTAGAAATCTAGAAATCGAGGGAATTCTAGAGATCAGGAAAAAAATCTAGAAATCCCCGCAAGGAGAAATCTAGAAATCGGGGGTAATCTAGAAATCCCTGCAAGCAGAAATCTAGAAATAAGGGGGAAAATCTAGAAATCCCTGCAAGGAGAAATTGAGGGAATTCTAGGGATCAGGAAAAATCTAGAAATCCCCGCAAGGAGAAATCTAGAAATCAGGGGAAAAAATCTAGAAATCCCTGCAAGCAGAAATCTAGAAATCCCCGCCAGGAAAAACCTGGAAATCAGGAAAAATCCAGAATTTCCCGCAAGCAGAAATCTAGAAATCAGGAAAAAAATCTAGAAATCCCCACAAGCAGAACTCTAGAAATCAGGAAAAAAAAATCCAGAAATCCCTGCAAGCAGAAATCTAGAAATCGAGGGAATTCTAGAGATCAGGAAAAAAATCTAGAAATCCCCGCAAGGAGAAATCTAGAAATCAGGGGGGAAATCTAGAAATCCCTGCAAGGAGAAATCTAGAAATCAGGGGGGAAATCTAGAAATCCCCGCAAGGAGAAATCTAGAAATCAGGGGGGGGGGAATCTAGAAATCCCCGCCAGGAAAAACCTGGAAATCAGGAAAAATCCAGAATTTCCCGCAAGCAGAAATCTAGAAATCAGGAAAAAAAATCTAGAAATCCCCGCAAGGAGAAATCTAGAAATGATGGGGGGAAATTGGGGCAGAAAAAGAAAAAATTGGGATGGAAAACGGGGAAATATTGGGGGAAATTGGGACAGAAAATTGGGGTGGAAAAAGGAAATATTGGGGTGAAATTGGGGCGAAAAAGGGAAATATTAGGGCGGGGAAAGGGGGGATATTGGGGAAAAATGGGGATGAAAAAGGGAAAAATGAAGGGGAAATTGGGGCGAAAAGGGGAATAATTGCGGCAGAAAAAGGGGGGAAATTGGGGTGAAAAGAGGGAAATTGGGGGAAAATTGGGGCGGAAAAGGGGAGAAATTTAGGTGGAAAAGGGGAAACATTGGGAAAATTGGGGGGAAATTGGGATGAAAAAGGGAAAAATGAAGGGAAAATTGGGGTGAAAAGGGGAATAATTGCAGCAGAAAAAGAGGGGAAATTGGGGCAGAAAAGGGGAAAAATTGGGGTGAAAAGAGGGAAATTGGGGGGAAATTGGGGCGGAAAGGGGAAAAATTAGGTGACAAGGGAAAAATTTGGGGGAAATTGGGGGGGGGAAATTGGGGTGGAAAAAGGGGGGAAATTGGGACTGAAAAAGGGAAAAATTGGGGGGAAATTGGAGTGAAAAAGGGAAAAATTGGGGTGGAAAGAGGGGGAAAATTTGGGTGAAAAGGGGAAAAATTGGGGGGAAATTGGAGTGAAAAAGGGAAAAATTGGGATAGCAGAAATCTAGAATTCTCTCCATTCAGAAACCCAGAACTCCCCGCCAGCAGAAACCTAGAAAATCAGGGAAATCCTGGATTCGAACCCGCAACCCGTCTCCCTACCTCCCCACATGGCGCCGCCCGGCCCCCCTGCCCGCAGATCAGCGCCATCCCGGCGTCGCACGGCGCCCGCTCCTCCCGTCCGCAAACCAAGGCGACGTCCGGGTGGCAAAGGTACATCCTGGGCGCCGGGTTCGAATCCCGCCCGGCGACGGAGGAGAACTGGCGCCAGCCGGGTCCGCAGGCCAATCGGAGGCCGGGGTGGCAGGGGGCGGGGGCCGGGCGAGGCTCCGCCCCTGTCGGCGGGCAGATGATGGCGGGTTTGGGAGTTGTAGCGCCGGGCGGCGGCCGGTTGGGGAGGCGGAGGCAGCCTTGGTAAGGGGCGGAGCCTGGAAAAGAGAATAATAATGATAATTAATAATCATAATAATAAAGGCTGGAAGAGAGAAGAATAATAGTAATAATAATAATAATAATAATAATAATAAAAGCCTGGAAGAGAGAAGAAGAAGAATAGTAATAATAATAATAATAATGATAATAATAATAATAATAATAATAAAGGCTGGAAGAGAGAAGAAGAAGAATAGTAATAATAATAATAATGATAATAATAATAATAAAGGCTGGAAGAGAGAAGAAGAAGAATAGTAATAATAATAATAATGATAATAATAATAATAAAGGCTGGAAGAGAGAAGAAGAAGAATAGTAATAATAATAATAATGATAATAATAACAATAATAATAGAAGCCTGGAAGAGAGAATAATAGCAATAATAATAATAGTAATAGAGATATAATAATAATAATAAGCCTGAAAGAAGCGGCGAGAGATTTAGTAATAATAATAATAATAGAAGAAGAAGAAGAAAGATTGAAAAAATAATGGTGCAAAAGGCTGGGTAATGTGAAATAATCGATACCGTAATATGATAAGATGAAGATAAAGATAGATAGATACATACATACATACAGAGATACAGAGATAGATAGATACAGACAGATAGATAGATAGACAGACAGATAGATAGATAGATAGATAGATAGATACAGAGATAGATAAAGATAGATAGATACAGAGATACAGAGATAGATAAAGATAGATAGATACAGAGATAGATAGATAGATAGATAGATAGATACAGAGATAGATAGATAGATACAGAGATAGATAAAGATAGATAGATACAGAGATACAGAGATACAGAGATAGATAAAGATAGATAGATACAGAGATAGATAGATAGATAGATAGATAGATAGATAGATAGATAGATACAGAGATAGATAGATAGATAGATAGATACAGAGATCGATCTAGAAAGATATAGATATAGGTAGGTAGATATAGAGACATAAAGATAGAGATAAATAAATAAAGATACACAGATACATAAGAGATAGATAATATATAGCTATATAGATAAAGATATGTAGATACATAGATAGCGATAGATATACATAGATATAGATTAGAAAGATAGATAAAGATAGAGATATAGATAAAGATATATAGATATAAATATAGATAAAGATATATAGATACATAGATATAAATAGATAGTTATAGACAGATATATAGATATACATAGATATGTAGATATATAGATATAGATAGATATAGATAAATAGTTATAGATATATAGATACATAGATATAGATAGTTATAGATACATAGATATAGATAAATAGTTATAGATATATAGATATAGATAGATATATAGATATACATAGATACGTAGATATATAGATATAGATAAAGATATATAGATATATAGATATAGATAAAAGATATATAGATACATAGATATAAATAGATATGTAGATACGTAGATATAGATAAAGATATAGATAGATATAGATGGATAAAGATATATACATAGATATAGATTAGAAAGATAAAGATTTATAGATACAGAGATATAGATAGATATAGATAAAGGTAGATAGATACATAAAGATAGATCGATAGATATATAGATAGAGAGATAGATATATAGATAAAGATATATAGATACATAGAGGTAGATAGATAGATAGATAGATAGATATAAAGATAGATATAGATTAGATAAAAAGATAAATATATAGATACATAGATGGATACATAGATAGATATAGATAGATATAGATAAAGATATGTAGATAGATATAGATTAGATAGAAAGATAGTTAAAGATAGATCTAGAGCTAGATAGATATAGAAAGATAGATAGAGACATAAAGATAGATAGATACATAAAGCGAGATCGATAGATACAGATAGAGAGAGAGAGCTATAGATTAGATAGATAAAGATAAAGATATATAGATGGAGAGAGAGAGAGAGATAGATAGATAGATTGCTATAGATATAGATTAGAAAGATAGATAAAGATATATAGATGCATAGAGATATAGATATAGATAAAGATATATAGATATAAATAGATAAAGATATATAGATACGTAGATATAAATAGATAGTTATAGATAGATATATACAGATACATAGATATAGATAGATAGATATACATAGATACGTAGATATATAGATAGATATAGATAAAGATATATAGATACATAGAGGTCGATACATAGATATAAAGATAGATAGATATAGATTAGATAAAAAGATAGATACGTAGAGAGAGAAAGATATAGATACATAGATGGATACATATAGATAGCTATAGATAAAGATATGTAGATATAGATTAGATAGAAAGATAGTGAAAGATCTATAGATACAGAGCTAGAGGTAGATAGATATAGAAAGATAGAGACATAAAGATAGATAGATACATATAGAGATATAGAGAGAGCGCTATAGATAAAGATATATAGATGGAGAGAGATAAAGAGATAGATAGATAGATACATAGATAGATAGATAGAGATAGATACATACATATATAAATTGCTATAGATATAGATTAGAAAGATAGATAAAGATAGATAGATAGATAGATAGATAAAGATATATAGATACATAGAGGTAGATACATAGATAGATATAAAGATAGATAGATATAGATTAGATAAAAAGATAGATAAAGATATAGATACATGGATAGATATAGATAATGATATGTAGATATAGATTAGATAGAAAGATAGTTAAAGATCTATAGACAACAGAGCTAGAGCTAGATAGATATAGAAAGATAGATAGAGACATAAAGATAGAGACATAAAGCGAAATCGATAGATACATATAAAGATATAGAGAGAGAGCTATAGATTAGATAGATAAAGATAAAGATATATAGATGGAGAGAGAGAGAGAGAGATGGATAGATAGATACATATATAGATTGCTATAGATATAGATTAGAAAGATAGATAAAGATAGATAGATACATAGCTAGAGATATAGATAAAGATATATAGATAACAGAGCTAGAGCTAGATAGATATAGAAAGATAGCTAGAGACATAAAGCGAAATCGATAGATACATATAGAGATATAGAGAGAGAGCTATAGATTAGATAGATAAAGATATATAGATGGAGAGAGATAAAGATATAGATACATAGAGAGAGATACATAGATAGATAGATAGATACATATATAGATTGCTATAGATACAGATTAGAAAGATAGATAAAGATATATAGATACATAGCTAGAGATATAGATAAAGATATATAGATATAAATAGATATAGATAGATAAAGATATATAGATACATAGATATAAATAGTTATAGATTTATAGATACATAGATATAGATAAAGATATATAGATACATAGCTAGAGATATAGATAAAGATATATAGATACATAGATATAGATGGATATATAGATATACATAGATACGTAGATATAAAGATATATAGATACATAGATAAAGATATATACATATACATAGATATAGATAGATAGTTATAGATATATACATATAGATAGATAAAGATATATAGATACATAGATATAGATAGTAATATATAGATACATAGATATAGATAGATATATAGATATACATAGATACGTAGATATAAAGATATATAGATAGATATAGATTTCATATAATAATAATATATGTAATAATATATAGTATAATATATTAATAAAATATATTATAGATGAATATAATATAATAATAATATATATATATATATATATATATATATATATATATAAAAATTATATATATATAATATATTTTTTAATATATTATATATATTTTTATATATATTTATATATATATATATATAGAGAGATATAGATTTTATATAATAATAATTATATATATAATAATATATAGTATAATATATTAATATAATATATTATATATGAATATAATATAATATTATGTACAGATATATAATATATTAAATTATATATATAAATTATATATATATATATATATATATATATATATATATATATATATATATATATATTTATATATGTATACATCTCTGGAAATTGACACACCGGAATACCCCGGGATGTAATTCTGGTGCTGGTCCATGCATTGGCGGAAGGGTCGGTCCCGGCTGGTGAAATCCTCGATAAATTTGGGTTTGGTCAGCGGCGCCAGGACGGAAATGGGACTTTTTTGGATCTTGGGGTCGGTGAGGACGTCGCAGGTGAGGCGGCCGAAAGGTTTGCCCACCTGGTAGCGCACCTGGGGGTAGAAGCCGCTGTAGCTGTCGGAAAAATGGGAAAAATTGGGGGAAAATTGGGGTGAAAAAGGGGAAAATTTGCGCGGAAAAATGGGGCGGAAAAGGGAAAAATGCGTGCAGAAAAATGGGGCGGAAAAGGGAAAAATGCGTGCAGAAAAATGGGGCGGAAAAGGGAAAAATGCGTGCGGAATTTATAGAAAGAGAGATGAATGAAATAAATAAAATTAAATTCAAAAATGGGAAGATTGGGGTGGAAAAGGGGGAAATTGGCGCGGGAAAATGGGGCGGAAAAGGGAAAAATGCGTGCGGAATTTATAGAAAGAGAGATGAATGAAATAAATAAAATTAAATTAAAAAATGGGGAAATTGGGGTGGGAAAGGGAAAAATGGGAAAATTGGGGAGAAAAAGGGGGGAAAAATGGGAAAATTGGGGGGAAATTGGGGTGGAAAAGGGGAAAATCCGTGCGGAAAAATGGGGCGGAATTGATAGAAAGAGAGATGAATGAAATACATAAAATTAAATTAAAAAATGGGAAGATTGAAAATGAAAAATGGGGCGGAATTTATAGAAAGAGAGATGAATGAAATACATAAAATTAAATTAAAAAATGGGAAGATTGAAAATGAAAAATGGGGCGGAATTTATAGAAAGAGAAATGAATGAAATACATAAAATTAAATTAAAAAATGGGAAGATTGAAAATGAAAAATGGGGCGGAATTTATAGAAAGAGAGATGAATGAAATACATAAAATTAAATTAAAAAATGGGAAGATTGAAAATGAAAAATGGGGCGGAATTTATAGAAAGAGAAATGAATGAAATAAATAAAATGAAATTGAAAATGAAAATGAAAAATTGGGGTGGAAAAGGGGATGATTTGCGCGGGAAAATGGGGCGGAAAAGGGAAAAATGCGTGCGGGAAAATGGGGCGGAATTTATAGAAAGAGAGATGAATGAAATAAGTAAAATTAAATTAAAAAATGGGAAAATTGGGGAAAAATTGGGGTGAAAAGGGGGAAAATTTGTGCGGGAAAATGGGGCGGAATTTATAGAGAGATGAATGAAATAAATAAAATTAAATTTAAAAATTGGGAAAATTGGGGTGGAAAAGGGGAAGATTCGTGCGGGAAAATGGGGCGGAATTTATAGAAAGAGAAATGAATGAAATAAATAAATTAAAAATTGGGAAAATTGGGGTGGAAAAGCGGAAGATTCGTGCGGAAAAATGGGGCGGAAAAGGGAAAAATGCGTGCGGGAAAATGGGGCGGAATTGATAGAAAGAGAGATGAATAAATGGAATGAAATGCAATTAAAAAAAAGAAATGGAATGGAATGAAAATATAAATAGAATAGAATAGAATAAAAATTTAAATAAATGAAAATCATGAAATAAAATTCATTAAATAATTAAATCAATCAATCAATAAAATATAAATATAATAAATAAATAACATAAAAAACATAAAAAACATAAAAAACATAAAATAAAATAACAAAACAAAACAAATAATATTTATTTATAATATAATAATATAATAATGTAATATAATATAATAAGGTAATAGAATTATATATATATTATAATCATAATTATAACTTATAATTATGATTATGATTATTATTATTATTATTAGGGCAGATATGGAAGGATGGGAAATGTGATTTATAGGCTGAGGTCGGGTGGGAGAGATGAAGCGACGGAGAGCGGGTGGATCCCACAGGTGGATCGGGACCTGCCGAAAGATCTGGAAAGAAATGGGGAGATCTGCAAGGAAATAGGGAGATCCGCAAAGAAATAGGGAGATCCGCAAAGAAATAGATCTGCAAAGAAATAGGGAGATTGTGATCTGCAAAGAAATGGGAGATCTGAATAGAAAGAGATCTGCAAGGAAATAGGAGGATCTGAATAGAAAGAGATCTGCAAGGAAATAGGGAGATCCGCAAAGAAATAGGGAGATCCACAAAGCAATAGGGAGATCCGCAAAGAAATAGGGAGATTGTGATCTGCAAATAAATAGGGAGATCTGAATAGAAAGATCTGCAAGGAAATAGGGGGATCTGAATAGAAAGAGATCTGCAAGGAAATAGGGAGATCCGCAAAGAAATAGGGAGATCCGCAAAGAAATAGGGAGATCTGCAAGGAAATAGGGAGATCCGCAAAGAAATAGGGAGATTGTGATCTGCAAAGAAATAGGGAGATCTGAATAGAAAGATCTGCAAGGAAATAGGGGGATCTGAATAGAAAGAGATCCGCAAGGAAATAGGGGGATCTGAATAGAAAGAGATCCGCGAAGAAATAGGGAGATCTGCAAGGAAATAGGGAGATTGTGATCTGCAAAGAAATAGGGAGATCTGAATAGAAAGATCTGCAAGGAAATAGGGAGATCTGCAAGGAAATAGGGAGATTGAGATCTGCAAAGAAATAGGGAGATCTGAATAGAAAGAGATCTGCAAGGAAATAGGGAGATCTGCAAGGAAATAGGGAGATCTGCAAAGAAATAGGGAGATCTGCAAGGAAATAGGGAGATCCACAAAGAAATAGGGAGATCCGCAAGGAAATAGGGAGATTGTGATCTGCAAAGAAATAGGGAGATCTGAATAGAAAGATCTGCAAGTAAATAGGGGGATCTGAATAGAAAGAGATCCGCAAAGAAATAGGGAGATCCGCAAAGAAAAAGGGAGATTGTGATCTGCAAGACATAGGCAGATCTGAATAGAAAGATCTGCAAGGAAATAGGGGGATCTGAATAGAAAGAGATCCGCAAAGAAATAGAGAGATTGTGATCTGCAAAGAAATAGGGAGATCTGAATAGAAAGATCTGCAAGGAAATAGGGGGATCTGAATAGAAAGAGATCTGCAAGGAAATAGGGGGATCTGAATAGAAAGAGATCCGCAAAGAAATAGGGAGATCCGCAAAGAAAAAGGGAGATTGTGATCTGCAAAGAAATAGGCAGATCTGAATAGAAAGATCTGCAAGGAAATAGGGGATCTGAATAGAAAGAGATCCACAAAGAAATAGGGAGATTGTGATCTGCAAAGAAATAGGGAGATCTGAATAGAAAGATCTGCAAGGAAATAGGGGGATCTGAATAGAAAGAGATCTGCAAGGAAATAGGTAGATCTGCAAAGAAATAGGGAGATTGTGATCTGCAAAGAAATAGGGAGATCTGAATAGAAAGATCTGCAAGTAAATAGGGGGATCTGAATAGAAAGAGATCCGCAAAGAAATAGGGAGATCCGCAAAGAAAAAGGGAGATTGTGATCTGCAAAGAAATAGGCAGATCTGAATAGAAAGATCTGCAAGGAAATAGGGGGATCTGAATAGAAAGAGATCCGCAAAGAAATAGAGAGATTGTGATCTGCAAAGAAATAGGGAGATCTGAATAGAAAGATCTGCAAGGAAATAGGGGGATCTGAATAGAAAGAGATCTGCAAGGAAATAGGTAGATCTGCAAAGAAATAGGGAGATTGTGATCTGCAAAGAAATAGGGAGATCTGAATAGAAAGATCTGCAAGGAAATAGGGGGATCTGGATAGAAAGAGATCCGCAAAGAAATAGGGAGATCTGCAAAGAAATAGGGAGATTGTGATCTGCAAAGAAATAGGGAGATCTGAATAGAAAGATCTGCAAGGAAATAGGGGGATCTGAATAGAAAGATCTGCAAGGAAATAGGTGGATTTGAATAGAAAGAGATCTGCAAGGAAATAGGAGGATCTGAATAGAAAGAGATCTGCAAGGAAATAGGGGGATCTGAATAGAAAGAGATCTGCAAAGAAATAGGGAGATCTGCAAGGAAATAGGGAGATTGTGATCTGCAAAGAAATAGGTAGATCTGAATAGAAAGATCTGCAAGGAAATAGGGGGATCTGAATAGAAAGATCTGCAAGGAAATAGGGGGATCTGAATAGAAAGAGATCTGCAAGGAAATAGGGAGATCCGCAAAGAAATAGGGAGATCTGCAAAGAAATAGGGAGATTGTGATCTGCAAAGAAATAGGGAGATCTGAATAGAAAGAGATCTGCAAGGAAATAGGGAGATCTGCAAGGAAATAGGGAGATCCACAAAGAAATAGGGAGATCCGCAAGGAAATAGGGAGATCCACAAAGAAATAGGGAGATCCGCAAGGAAATAGGGAGATTGTGATCTGCAAAGAAATAGGGAGATCTGAATAGAAAGAGATCTGCAAGGAAATAGGGAGATCTGCAAGGAAATAGGGAGATCCACAAAGAAATAGGGAGATCTGCAAGGAAATAGGGAGATCCACAAAGAAATAGGGAGATCCGCAAGGAAATAGGGAGATTGTGATCTGCAAAGAAATAGGGAGATCTGAATAGAAAGATCTGCAAGTAAATAGGGGGATCTGAATAGAAAGAGATCCGCAAAGAAATAGGGAGATCCGCAAAGAAATAGGGAGATCCGCAAAGAAATAGGGAGATCTGCAAAGAAATAGGGAGATTGTGATCTGCAAAGAAATAGGGAGATCTGAATAGAAAGATCTGCAAGGAAATAGGGGGATCTGAATAGAAAGAGATCCGCAAAGAAATGGGGAGATCTGCAAAGAAATAGGGAGATTGTGATCTGCAAAGAAATAGGGAGATCTGAATAGAAAGATCTGCAAGGAAATAGGGGGATCTGAATAGAAAGAGATCCGCGGGGAAATAGGGAGATCGCGATTCGCAAAGAAATGGGGAGAAATAGGTGGATCTGCAAAGAAAGAGGGAGATCCGTAAAGAAAAACGGAGATCTGAATAGAAATAGATCTGGAAAGAAATCGGTAGATGTGAGAAGAAATAGGGAGATCTGCCAAGAAATAGGGAGATCTGCCAAGAAATAGGGAGATCTGCCAAGAAATAGGGAGATCTGCCAAGAAAGAGGAAGATCTGCCAAGAAATAGGGAGATCACGATATGTGAAGAAATGGGGAGATCTGCAAAGAAAGAGGTGGATCTGCCAAGAAATAGGTAGATTGCGATTTGCAAAGAAATAGGGAGATCTGGAAAGGGGGAGATCTGGAAAGAGGTGGATCTGCAAAGAAAGAGGTAGATCTGGAAAGAAACAGGGAGATCTGAATAGAAAGAGATCTGCAAGAAAATAGGTAAATCTGAATAGGAAGAGATCTGCAAGGAAATAGGTAGATCTGGAAAGAAACAGGGAGATCTGAATAGAAAGAGATCTGCAAGAAAATAGGTAAATCTGAATAGAAAGAGATCCGCAAGGAAATAGGGAGATCTGCAAAGAAATAGGGAGATCTGCAAAGAAATAGGTAGATCGCAATATCTAAAGAACTGGGGAGATCTGCAAGGAAATAGGTAGATCTGGAAAGAAATAGGCAGATCTGCAAGGAAAGAGGGAGATCTGAATAGAAATAGATCCGCAAAAGAAATAGGTAGATCTGGTAAGAAAGAGGGAGATCTGAAAGGAAATAGGTAGATCGCGATCTGCAAAGAAATAGGTGAATCTGCAAGGAAATAGGTAGATCTGGAAGGAAAGAGGGAGATCTGCAAAAAATCGGTAGATCAGAATTAAAAGAAATAGGGAGATCTGCAAGGAAATGGGGAGATCTGAATAGAAAGAGATCTGCAAGGAAATAGGTAGATCTGCAAAGAAATAGGGAGATTTGAATAGAAAGAGATCTGCAAGGAAATAGGGAGATCTGCAAAGAAATAGGGAGATCTGAATAGAAAGAGATCTGCAAGGAAAGAGGGAGATCTGGAAAGAAATAGGTAGATCTGCAAGAAATAGGTAGATCTGGAAAGAAAGAGGGAGATCTGCAAAAAATCGGTAGATCGGAATTTAAAAAAAATAGGTAGATCTGCAAAGAAACAGGGAGATCTGAATAGAAAGAGATCTGCAAGGAAATAGGGAGATCTGCAAAGAAATAGGGAGATTTGAATAGAAAGAGATCTGCAAGGAAAGAGGGAGATCTGCAAATAAATCGGTAGATCTGCAAAGAAATAGGTGGATCGCGATCCGCAAAGAAATGGGGAGATCTGCAAGGAAATAGGTAGATCTGGAAAGAAAGAGGGAGATCTGCAAAAAATCGGTAGATCGGAATTTAAAAAAATAGGTAGATCTGCAAAGAAACAGGGAGATCTGAATAGAAAGAGATCTGCAAAGAAATAGGGAGATCTGCAAGGAAATAGATTGCGATCCGCAAATAAATAGGGAGATCTGCATAGAAAGATGAAGATCTGGTAAGAATCAGGTAGATCTGCCAAGAAATAGGTAGATTGTGATATGCAAAGAAATAGGGAGATCTGCAAGGAAATAGATCACGATCCGCAAAGAAATAAGTAGATCTGCAAGGAAAGAGGAAGATCTACCAAGAAATAGGGAGATCTGCCAGGAAATAGGGAGGTCGCGATCCGCAAAGAAAGAGGTGGGTCTGCCAGGAAATAGGGAGATCTGCAAATGGGGAGATCTGAATAGAAAGAGATCTGCAGAGAAATAGGGAGATGTGAGAGGAGATCTGTAAAGAAAGAGATCTGCACGGAAATAGGGAGATCTGTAAAGAAATAAGTAGATCTGCAAAGAAAGAGGGAGATCTGCAAGGAAAGAGGGAGATCTGCAAGGAAATAAGGGAGATCGCGATCAGCAGAGAAATAGGTGGATCTGCAAGAAAATAGGTGGATCTGCCAAGAAATCGGTAGATCTGAATAGAAGGAGATCTGTAAAGAAAGAGGTGGATCTACAAACAAATAGGTAGGTTGCGATATGCAAGGAAATAGGGAGATCCCAATCAGCCTAGAAATGGGGAGATCTGCCAAGAAATAGATCTGTAAAGAAATAGGTATATTGGGAGATATGGAGGGGCATGGCAGATCCCACAGGGGGATGGGGATCCGGAAAGAAATGGGGAGATCTTCAAAGAAATAGGAAGATCTGGAAAGAAAGAGATCTGGAAAGAAATGGGGGGATCTGGAAAGAAAGAGGGAGATCTGCAAAGAAATGGGGAGATCCGAATAAAAAGAGATCTGGAAAGAAATAGGATATGATCCACAAAGAAATAGGTATATATACAAGGAAAGAGGTAGATCCGCAAGGAAAGAGACAGATCTGCAAAGAAATCGGTAGATCTGGAAAGAAACAGGTGGATCTGGAAAGAAATAGGTGGATCTGGGAAGAAACAGGTGGATCTGGAAAGAAACAGGTAGATTGTGATTTGCAAAGAAATAGGTAGATTTGCATAGAAAGAGATCCGCAAGGAAATAGGGAGATCTGCAAGGAAATTGGTAGATCTGCAAGGAAATAGGTAGATCTGAATAGAAAGAGATCCTCCAGGAAATAGGGAGATCTGCAAGGAAATAGGTAGATCGCGATCAGCAAAGAAATAGCGGGAAAACGGGGAGAGAAAGATGGGAAAGTCAGGAAAGGGTTAAGGATGGGATCCCTGGGGATCATCCAGACCAACCCCGGTGGGAGGAAGCCATTGGGGAGGATCTGGAATGATCGGAAATGGGACGGGTTGGGAGAGATGGAGGGATGTGCGACGGGTGGATCCCACAGGGGGATGGGGATCCGGAAAGAAAGGGGGTCAATTACTAATAGTAATCAATATTATATATTTTATATATATATATATATATATATATATATATATATATATATATATAATTAATATAGATCAATATGGATAAGTAATCAATATTATTTATTAATAAATATTTTTGTTGGGTCTATGGACCGTAATAAAGCTTGATGATGATTAATAAATATAATAATAATAATATTTACTAATAGTAATCAATATTATAGTAATCAATATTATATATATATATAATATTAATATAGATCAATGGTAATAAGTCATAAATAATATTTATTAGTAAATATAATAATATTTACTAATAGTAATATATATATATTCCTATTAGTAATATATATTACTATAACTATATATATTACTATATATAATATTAATATAGATCAATAGTACTAAGTAATAAATAATATTTATTACTAAATATAATAATAATATATAATATTAATATAGATCAATAGTACTAAGTAATAAATAATATTTATTAGTAAATATAATAATATTTACTAATAGTAATATATATATATTACTATTAGTAATATATATTACTATTAGTATATATATTACTATATATAATATTAATATAGATCAATAGTAACAAGTAATAAATAATATTTATTACTAAATATAATAATAATATTTACTAATAGTAATATATATATATATATTACTATTAGTAATATATATTACTATTACTATATATATTACTATATATAATATTAATATAGATCAATAGTAATAAGTAATAAATAATATTTATTAGTAAATATAATAATAATATTTACTAATAGTAATATATATATATTACTATTACTATATATATTACTATATATAATATTAATATAGATCAATAGTATTAAGTAATGAATATTGTTTATTAGTAAATATAATAATAATAATATTTACTAATAGTAATATAAATATATTACTATTACTATATATACTACTATATATAATATTAATATAGATCAATAGTAATAAGTAATAAATAATATTTATTAGTAAATATAATAATAATATTTACTAATAGTAATATATATATTACTATTAGTAATATATATTACTATTACTATATATATTACTATATATAAAATTAACATAGATCAATATTAGTAAGTAATAAATTATTATTATTATTATTATTATTATTATTATTATTATTATTATTATTAAAATAAATATTTTATATATATATATATTCTCCCTCTTACTAAAAACTCACCCCGGAATATAATAGGGTTCCTGCGGCAAGAACCTCTCCTTCCCGACCGACGCCATCTTGCCCTGGGAGGCACCTTTGGGTGCTGGTCTTGCCTCCCCTTGGACTCCCCTTGGCTACCATTGTTACGCTCTACCTGTGTGACATCGGCCTGGAGTTCAACCTTTAAAACCGGCCTGGAAAATGGGCTTTACCGGTGAGATTTCCGCCTGAAAATTGGCTTTACCGGTGAGATTTCCGCCTGAAAATGGGCTTTACCGGTGAGATTTCTGCCTGAATTCATGGGGGTTTAGATCTCATTGTGAAGCTCTACCTGTGTGACATCGGCCTGCAGTTCAACCTTTAAAACCGGCCTGAAAATTGGCTTTACCGGTGAGATTTCCGCCTGAATTCATGGGGATTTAGGGCTCATTGTGAGGCTCTACCTGTGTGACATTGGCCTGGAGTTCAACCTTTCAAACCGGCCTGGAAAATGGGCTTTACCGGTGAGATTTCCGCCTGAAAATTGGCTTTACTGGTGAGATTTCCGCCTGAATTCATGGGGATTTAGATCTCATTGTGAAGCTCTACCTGTGTGACATCGGCCTGGAGTTCAACCTTTAAAACCGGCCTGGAAAATTGGCTTTACCAGCTGGATTTCTGCCAGAAAATTGGCTTTACCGGTGAGATTTCTGCCTGAATTCATGGGGATTTAGATCTCATTGTGAAGCTCTACCTGTGTGACATCGGCCTGGAGTTCAACCCTTAAAAGTAGCCTGAAAAATTGGCTTTACCTGTGAGATTTCTGCCTGAATTAATGGGAATTTATTGTTATTAAGGGGAATCTGAAAAATTGGCTTTTCCGGTGGGTTTTCTGCCTGAAAATTGGCTTTACCGGTGAGATTTCCGCCTGAATTAATGGGGATTTAGATCTCATTGTGAAGCTCTACCTGTGTGACATCGGCCTGGAGTTCAACCTTTAAATCCGGCCTGGGAAATTGGCTTTACCGGTGACGTTTCCGCCTGAAAATTGGCTTTACCGGTGAGATTTCCGCCTGAATTCAGGGGGGGTTAGATCTCATTGTGAAGCTCTACCTGTGTGAAATCGGCCTGGAGTTCAACCTTTCAAACCGGCCTGGTAAATGGGCTTTACCGGTGAGATTTCCGCCTGAAAATTGGCTTTACCGGTGAGATTTCCGCATGAAAATTGGCTTTACCTCTGAGATTTCTGCCTGAATTCATGGGGATTTAGAGCTTGACCTGTGTGACTTCGGCCTGCGATTCAACCGGTCAAACTAGCCTGAAAAATTGGCTTTACCTGTGAGATCTCTGCCTGAAAATTGGCTTTGCCAGTGAGATTTCTGCCTGAAAATTGGCTATACCGGTGAGATTTCTGCCTCAATTCATGGGGATTTAGGTATTAAAGAGAGGAAAAGTCTCGCGCTCTACCTGGTGGATTGCGGCCTGAATTAGAGGGGAATTAGACATGAAGGGGAGTCTGAAAAATTGGCTTTTCCGGTGGGATTTCTGCCTGAAAATTGGCTTTACCAGTGAGATTTCTGCCTGAAAATTGGCTTTACAGGTGAGATTTCTGCCTGAATTAATGGGGATTTAGGGATTCAGGGGAGTCTGAAAAATTGGCTTTACCTGTGAGATTTCCACCTCAATTCATGGGGATTTAGAGCTTGACCTGTGTGACTTCGGCCTGCGATTCAACCGGTCAAACTGGCCTGAAAATTGGCTTTACCTGTGAGATTTCTGCCTGAAAATTGGCTTTACCGGTGAGATTTCTGCCTGAATTCTTGGGGATTTAGGTATTAAAGAGAGGAAAATTCTTGCGCTCTACCTGGTGGATTGCGGCCTGAATTAGAGGGGAATTAGACATGAAGGGGAGTCTGAAAATTTGGCTTTTCCGGTGGGATTTCTGCCTGAAAATTGGCTTTTTCCTGTGGGATTTCTGCCTGAAAATTGGCTTTACTGGTGAGATTTCTGCCTGAATTCATGGGGATTTAGGGATTCAGGGGAGTCTGAAAAATTGGCTTTTCCGGTGGGATTTCTGCCTGAATTAATGGGGATTTAGGGATTCAGGGGAGTCTGAAAAATTGGCTTTACCTGTGAGATTTCTGCCTGAATTAATGGGGATTTAGACATGAAGGGCAGTCTGAAAAATTGGCTTTACCAGTGAGATTTCTGCCTGAATTAATGGGAATTTATTGTTATTCAGGGGAATCTGAAAAATTGGCTTTTCCGGTGGGATTTCTGCCTGAAAATTGGCTTTACCAGTGAGATTTCTGCCTGAAAATTGGCTTTACCGGTGAGATTTCTGCCTGAATTCATGGGGATTTAGGGATTCAGGGGAGTCTGAAAAATTGGCTTTACCTGTGAGATTTCCGCCTGAATTCATGGGGATTTAGAGCTTGACCTGTGTGACTTCGGCCTGCGATTCAACCGGTCAAACTAGCCTGAAAATTGGCTTTACCTGTGAGATTTCTGCCTGAATTAATGGGGATTTAGCTATGAAGAGCAGTCTGAACAATTGGCTTCACCTGTGAGATTTCTGCCTGAAAATTGGCTTTACCGGTGGGATTTCTGCCTGAATTCATGGGGATTTAGGGATTCAGGGGAGTCCGAAAAATTGGCTTTACCTGTGAGATTTCCGCCTGAATTCATGGGGATTTAGAGTTTGACCTGTGTGACTTCGGCCTGCGATTCAACCGGTCAAACTAGCCTGAAAATTGGCTTTACCTGTGAGATTTCTGCCTGAATTAATGGGGATTTAGCTATGAAGAGCAGTCAGAACAATTGGCTTTACCTGTGAGATTTCTGCCTGAATTTATGGGAATTTAGAGATTAAAGGGGGGTCTGAAAAATTGGCTTTTCTGGTGAGATTTCTGCCTGAAAATTGGCTTTACCTGTGAGATTTCTGCCTGAAAATTGGCTTTTCCGGTGGGATTTCTGCCTGAAAATTGGCTTTACCGGTGAGATTTCTGCCTGAATCAATGGGAATTTAGGTATTAAATGGAGGACAATTATCACGCTCAACCTGTTGGATTGCGGCCTGAAACTGGCCTGAAAAATTGGCTTTTCCGGTGGGATTTCTGCCTGAATTAATGGGAATTTAGATATTAAAGGGAGTCTGAAAAATTGGCTTTACCAGTGAGATTTCTGCCTGAATTAATGGGAAATTTAGATATTAAAGGGAGTCTGAAAAATTGGCTTTACCAGTGAGATTTCTGCCTGAAAATTGGCTTTACCGGTGAGATTTCTGCCTGAATTCATGGGGATTTAGGGATTCAGGGGAGTCTGAAAAATTGGCTTTACCTGTGAGATTTCCGCCTGAATTCATGGGGATTTAGAGCTTGACCTGTGTGACTTCGGCCTGCGATTCAACCGGTCAAACTAGCCTGAAAATTGGCTTTACCTGTGAGATTTCTGCCTGAATTAATGGGGATTTAGCTATGAAGAGCAGTCAGAACAATTGGCTTTACCTGTGAGATTTCTGCCTGAATTTATGGGAATTTAGAGATTAAAGGGGGTCTGAAAATTGGCTTTTCTGGTGAGATTTCTGCCTGAAAATTGGCTTTACCTGTGAGATTTCTGCCTGAAAATTGGCTTTTCCGGTGGGATTTCTGCCTGAAAATTGGCTTTACCGGTGTGATTTCTGCCTGAATCAATGGGAATTTAGGTATTAAATGGAGGGAAATAATCGCGCTCAACCTGGTGGATTGCGGCCTGAAACTGGCCTGAAAAATTGGCTTTTCCGGTGGGATTTCTGCCTGAATTAATTGGAATTTAGATATTAAAGGGAGTCTGAAAAATTGGCTTTTCCGGTGGGATTTCTGCCTGAATTAATGGGGATTTAGGGATTCAGGGGAGTCCGAAAAATTGGCTTTACCTGTGAGATTTCTGCCTGAAAATTGGCTTTGCCAGTGAGATTTCTGCCTGAATTAATGGGAATTTAGGTATTAAAGGGGAGTCTGAAAAATTGGCTTTTCCGGTGGGATATCTGCCTGAAAATTGGCTTTACCAGTGAGATTTCTGTCTGAAAATTGGCTTTACCTGTGAGATTTCTGCCTGAATTAATGGGGATTTGGGTATTCAAGGGAGGAAAAGCTTCGCGCTCTACCTGGTGGATTGCGGCCTGATCTGTTGGGGAATTGCTGTCGGCAGGCAGGAGTTCAACAGGTGAAGCTGGTCTGAAAAACGGGCTTTTCCGGTGGGATTTCTGCCTGAATTAATGGGGATTTAGGTACGAAGGGGAGGGAAATTTTCGCGCTCTACCTGGTGGATTGCGGCCTGATCTGTTGGGGAACGGCGGCCTGATCTTTGCGCTCTACCTGGTGGATTGCGGCCTGATCTACCTGCATGATCTACCTGGGGAATTGCTGCCTGATCTATTCAATATCAACCTGGTGAATTGCTGCCTGATCTACCTGGTGAATTTCTGCCTGATCTACCTGGTGAATTGCTGCCTGATCTACCTGCCTGATCTACCTGTTGAATTTCTGCCTGATCTATTGATGAATTCCTGCCTGATCTACCTGGTGAATTCCTGCCTGATCTACCTGGTGAATTTCTGCCTGATCTACCTGTTCAATTCCTGCCTGATCTTCCTGGTGAATTTCTGCCTGATCTATTCAATATCTACCTGGGGAATTGCTGCCTGATCTATTCAATATCTACCTGGTGAATTTCTGCCTGATCTACCTCATGAATCGCTGCCTGATCTACCTGCCTGATCTACCTGGTGAATTTCTGCCTGATTTATTGATATCTGCCTGATGAATTCTTGCCTGATTAACCTGGTGAATTCCTGCCTGATCTACCTGATGAATTGCTGCCTGATCTACCTGCTGAATCGCTGCCTGATCTACCTGTTGAATTTCTGCCTGATTTATTGCTATCTTGCCTGATCTACCTGGTGTATTGCTGCCTGATCTACCTGCCTGATCTACCTGGTGAATTTCTGCCTGATCTATTCAATATCTACCTGGTGAATTTCTTCCTGATCTGCCTGGTGAATTGCTGCCTGATCTATTGATATCTACCTGGTGAATTGCTGCCTGATCTACCTGATGAATTGCTGCCTGATCTACCTGGTGAATCGCTGCCTGATCTACCTGGTGAATTGCTGCCTGATCTACCTGATGAATTCCTGCCTGATCTACCTAGTGAATTTCTGCCTGATCTATTGATGAATTCCTGCCTGATCTGCCTGGTGAATTCCTGCCTGATCTACCTGTTGAATCGCTGCCTGGTCTACCTGGTGAATTTCTGCCTGATCTACCTGTTGAATCGCTGCCTGACCTATTGATGAATTCCTGCCTGATCTACCTGGTGAATTTCTGCCTGATTTATTGATATCTGCCTGATGAATTCCTGCCTGATCTACCTGATGAATTGCTGCCTGATCTGTTGATGAATCTGCTCTACCTGGTGAATTTCTGCCTGATTTATTGATATCTGCCTGATGAATTCTTGCCTGATTAACCTGGTGAATTGCTGCCTGATCTATTCAATTTCAACCTGGGGAATTGCTGCCTGATCTACCTGGGGAATTGCTGCCTGATCTATTCAATATCTACCTGGTGAATTTTTGCCTGATCTACCTGCCTGATCTACCTGGTGAATTTCTGCCTGATTTATTGATATTTGCCTGATGAATTCCTGCCTGATCTACCTGATGAATTGCTGCCTGATCTACCTGCATGCTCTACCTGGTGAATTGCTGCCTGATCTATTCACTATCTACCTCGTGAATTGCTGCCTGATCTATTCAATATCTACCTGGTGAATCGCTGCCTGATCTAACTGCCTGATCTACCTGTTGAATTTCTGCCTGATCTATTGATGAATTCCTGCCTGATTAACCTGGTGAATTCCTGCCTGATCTACCTGGTGAATGGCTGCCTGATCTACCTGTTGAATCGCTGCCTCATCTATTGATGAATCTGCTCTACCTGATGAATCGCTGCCTGATCTACCTGCCTGATCTACCTGTTGAATTTCTGCCTGATCTATTGATGAATTCCTGCCTGATCAACCTGTTGAATTCCTGCCTGATCTATTGATGAATCTGCTCTACCTGTTGAATTCCTGCCTGATCTGGATTCCCCTCTCAATGCAATTCCTCCCCTAGAATCCCATAGGGAAGCTTGACCTGTGTGATACCGGCCTGCCGGCGGGCAGGAATTCAACTGGTGAAGCTCTCGGGGCGGATTTCTCCCTAAAGCCTCGCGCTCTACCTGGTGGACTCCTGCCTGCCATCCTTGCCTTCCAGGAGGAAGCAGGCAGGAATCCCACTGGTGCAGCTTGACGGGGGGAAGACAGGTAGAAATCCAACCGGTGAAGCTAGCACTGGGAAATTGCCAGGAGACGGGCAGAAATCGCACCGGTGCAGCTCGGTGGAGAAAAGCCAGGTAGAAATCCCACCGGTGGAGTTTGGGTGGAGTTGCGGGCGGAAATCCCACCGGTGAAGCTAGTGCCAGGAAATGGGTTGCCAGGGTGGCCAGCAGACAGGCGGAAATCACAATGGTGCAGCTAGTCTTGGGGATTTGGGTGGAGTTGCAGGCAGAAACCCAACCGGTGAAGCTAGCGCTGTGAAGTTGCCAGGAGACGGGCGGGAATCCCACCGGCGAAGCTAGTATTGGAAATGGGTTGCCAGCAGACAGGCGGAAATCCCACTGGTGCAGCTTGGTGGGAAAAGCCAGGTAGAAATCCCACCGGTGGAGTTTGGGTGGAGTTGCGGGCGGAAATCCCACGGGTGAAGCCAGTGCTGGGAAATTGCCTGCCAGGGTGACCAGAAGACAGGCAGAAATTGCAATGGTAAAGCTAGTATTGGGGAAAACTAGCAGGAGGCAGGCAGGAATCACACTGGTGCAGCTGTGTGGGGGGGAAAGGCAGGTAGACATCCCACCGGTGGAGTTTGGATGCAGGGGATACCGGGCAGAAATCCCACCGGCGAAGCTAGCGCTGGGAAATTGCCAGCAGACGGGCGGAAATCGCACTGGTGCAGCTAGTATTGGGGACGGCCTGCAGTGCTTTGCCAGGCAGGAATCGCACCGGTGCAGCTTGGTGGGAAAAGCCAAAGCAGTGTTTTGCCAGGCAGAAATCCCACCGGTGCAGCGCAGTGTGGAAAAGCCAGGTAGAAATTCCCCTGGTGGAGTTTGGATGCAGAGGATTCCGGGCGGCAATCCCACCGGTGAAGCTAGGGTTGGGCTATTGCCAGGAGACAGGCAGAAATCGCAATGGTGCAGCTGCTATGGGGAATTTGGGTGGAGTGGCAGGTGGAAATCTCACCGGTGAAGCTAGCGCTGGGAAATTGCCACCAGACGGGTGGAAATCGCACTGGTGCAGCTTGGTGGAGAAAAGCCAGGTAGAAATCCCACCGGTGGAGTTTGGGTGGAGTTGCGGGCGGAAATCCCACCGGCGAAGCTAGTATTGGAAATGGGTTGCCAGCAGACAGGCAGAAATCCCACTGGTGCAGCTCCCTGGGAAAAGCCAGGTAGAAATCCCACCGGTGGAGTTTGGGTGGAGCTGCGGGCAGAAATCCCACCGCGAGTTAGCGCTTGGAAATTGCCTGCCAGGGTGACCAGAAGACAGGCAGAAATTGCAATGGTAAAGCTAGTATTGGGGAAAACGGCCTGCAGTTCTTGAGAGAAAGTAGGCAGGCAGGAATCACACCGGTGCAGCTCGGTGGGGAAAAGCCAGGTAGAAATTCCCCTGGTGGAGTTTGGATGCAGGGGATACCGGGCGGAAATCCCACCGGCGAAGCTAGCGCTGGGATATTGCCAGGAGACAGGCAGAAATCGCAATGGTGCAGCTAGTATTGGGAATTTGGGTGGAGTGGCAGGCGGAAATCTCACCGGCGAAGCTAGCGCTGGGAAACGGTTTGCCAACAGACGGGCAGGAATCCCACTGATGCAGCTTTGTGGGAAAAGCCAAAGCAGGGCTTTGCCAGGCAGGAATCGCACCGGTGCAGCTTGGTGGGGGAAAGCCAGGTAGAAATCCCACTGGTGGAGTTTGGATGGCGTTGCGGGCGGAAATCCCACTGGAGTAGCTAGCGCTGGGAAATTGCCAGGAGACGGGCAGAAATCGCAATGGTGCAGTTAGTATTGGGGGGAAACGGCCTGCAGTTCTCAAGGTTGCCAGCCGAGGAAGGCAGCAGGCAGGAATAACACTGGTTCAGCTCAGTGGGGGAAAGCCAGGTAGAAATCCCCCCGGTGGAGTTTGGGTGGCGTTCGGGCGGAAATCCCACCGGCGAAGCTAGCGCTGGGAATCGGGTTGCCAGCAGACGGGCGGAAACCGCACCGGTGCAGCTAGTATTGGGAATCCGGATTGACGGCCTGCAGTTCTCAAGGTGGCCAGCAGACGGGCGGAAATCCAACCGGCGAAGCTCGCCCTGGGAATGGGTTGCCAGGCTGCCCAGCAGACGGGCAGAAATCCCACTGGTGCAGCTAGTATTGCTGGCCGCCTTAGTAAGTTCCCAAGCAGGCCAAAGCAGCGCTTTGCCAGGCAGGATTCCCACCGGTGCAGCGCGGTGGGGAAAGCCAGGTAGAAATCCCACCGGTGGAGTTTGGGTGGAGCTGCGGGCGGAAATCCCACTGGTGAAGCTAGCACTGGGAAAGGGGTTGCAAGGCTTGCCAACAGACGGGCAGAAATCCAAGCGGTGAAGCTAGCGCTGGGAAATTGCCAGGAGACAGGCAGAAATCGCAATGGTGCAGCTAGTCTTGGGAATTTGGGTGGAGTTGCAGGCGGAAATCCCACCGGCGAAGCTAGCCCTTGGAAATGGGTTGCCAGGGTTGCTAAAAGACGGGCGGAAATCCCACTGGGGAAGCTAGTATTGGAAATGGGTTGCCAGCAGACAGGCAGAAATCCCACTGGTGCAGCTCCCTGGGAAAAGCCAGGTAGAAATCCCACCGGTGGAGTTTGGGTGGAGCTGCGGGCAGAAATCCCACCGGCGAAGTTAGCGCTTGGAAATTGCCTGCCAGGGTGACCAGAAGACAGGCAGAAATTGCAATGGTAAAGCTAGTATTGGGGAAAACGGCCTGCAGTTCTTGAGAGAAAGTAGGCAGGCAGGAATCACACCGGTGCAGCTCGGTGGGGAAAAGGCAGGTAGAAATCCCACCGGTGGAGTTTGGATGCAGGGGATACCGGGCGGAAATCCCACCGGCGAAGCTAGCGCTGGGCTATTGCCAGGAGACAGGCAGAAATCGCACTGGTGCAGCTAGTATTGGGAATTTGGGTGGAGTGGCAGGCGGAAATCTCACCGGCGAAGCTAGCGCTGGGAAAGGGGCTGCCAGCAGACGGGCGGAAATCGCACCGGTGCAGCTAGTATTGGGAATTTGGGTGGACGGTCTGCAATTCTCAAGGTTGCCAGCTGAGGAAGGAAGCAGGCAGGAATCACACTGGTGCAGCTCGGTGGGGGGAAAGCCAGGTAGAAATCCCACCGGTGGAGTTTGGGTGGAGTTGCGGGCGGAAATACCACGGGTTGAGCTAGCGCTGGGAAAGGGTTTGCCAGGAGACAGGCAGAAATCGCAATGGTGCAGCTACTATGGGAAATTTGGGTGGAGTGGCGGGCGGAAATCTCACCGGCGAAGCTAGCGCTGGGAAACGGGCTGCCAGCAGACGGGCGGAAATCGCACTGGTGCAGCTCGGTGGGGAACAGCCAGGTAGAAATCCCACTGGTGGAGTTTGGATGGCGTTCCAGGCGGAAATCCCACGGGTGAAGCTAGCATTGGGAAAGGGTTTGCCAGCAGACGGGCGGAAATCCCACTGGTGCAGCTTGGTGGGAAAAGCCAAAGCAGGGCTTTGCCAGGCAGGAATAACACTGGTGCAGCTCGGTGGGAAAAGCCAGGTAGAAATCCCACAGATGGAGTTTGGATGGCGTTCCAGGCCGAAATCCCACTGGAGAAGCTAGCCCTGGGAAATGTGTTGCCAGCAGACGGGCAGAAGTCCAACCGGTGAAGCTAGTGCTGGGAAATTGCCAGGAGACGGGCAGAAATCGCAATGGTGCAGCTAGCATTGGGAATTTGGGTGGAGTGGCAGGCGGAAATCCCACCGGCAAAGCTAGCGCTGGGAAATTGCCAGGAGACGGGCAGAAATCGCACTGGTGCAGCTAGTATTGGGGAAACGGGCTGCAGTTCTCAAGGTTGCCAGCCGAGGAAGGAAGCAGGCAGGAATAACACCGGTGCAGCTCGGTTGGGAAAAGCCAGGTAGAAATCCCACCGGTGGAGTTTGGATGCAGAGGATTACGGGCGGAAATCCCACGGGTGAAGTTAGCTCTGGGAAATTGCCAGGAGACAGGTAGAAATCGCACCGGTGCAGCTTGGTGGAGAAAAGCCAGGTAGAAATCCCCCCGGTGGAGTTTGGATGGCGTTCCAGGCGGAAATCCCACTGGTGTAGTTTGCGCTGGGAAATGGCCAGGAGACAGGTAGGAATCGCACCGGTGCAGCTTGGTGGAGAAAAGCCAGGTAGAAATCCCCCCGGTGGAGTTTGGATGCAGAGGATTACGGGCGGAAATCCCACGGGTGAAGTTAGCTCTGGGCATTTGGGTGGAGGGTCTGCAGTTCTCAAGCTGGCCAGCGGACGGGCAGAAATCTTAATGGTGCAGCTATGATTAAGAATTGGGGGGGGCGGCCTGCAGTTCCCAAGGTGGCCGGAAGACGGGCGGAAATCCCACCGGTGCAGCTACTATTGCTGGCAACCTTGGGCAGGCGGAAGCAGTGCCTTGCCAGGCAGGAATCGCACCGGTGCAGCTCAGTGGGGGAAAAGCCAGGTAGAAATCCCCTTGGTGGAGTTTGGGGTGGAGTTGCGGGCGGAAATCCCACCGGGGAAGCTAGTGCTGGGAATTGGGGTGGAGTTGCAGGCAGAAAGCCCACCGGTGAAGCTAGCGCTGCGAAGTTGCCGGGAGACGGGCGGAAATCCCACCGGCGAAGCTAGCGCTGGGAAATGGCCACCAGACGGGCGGAAATCGCACTGGTGCAGCTACTATTGGGAATTGGGGTGGAGTGGCAGGCGGAAATCCCACCGGCGAAGCTAGCGCTGGGAAATTGCCACCAGACGGGCGGAAATCGCACTGGGGCAGCTAGTATTGGGAATTTGGGTGGAGTGGCAGGCGGAAATCTCACCGGTGAAGCTAGCGCTGGGAAATTGCCAGCAGACGGGCGGAAATCGCACTGGTGCAGCTACTATTGGGAATCTGTGTGGAGTGGCAGGCGGAAATCTCACCGGTGAAGCTAGCGCTGGGAAATGGGCTGCCAGCAGACGGGCGGAAATCGCACTGGTGCAGCTAGTATTGGGAATTTGGGTGGAGTGGCAGGCGGAAATCCCACCGGTGAAGCTAGCGCTGGGAAATGGGCTGCCAGCAGACGGGCGGGAATCGCACTGGTGCAGCTACTATTGGGAATTTGGGTGGAGTGGCAGGCAGAAACCCAACCGGTGAAGCTAGCGCTGGGAAGTTGCCGGGAGACGGGCGGAAATCCCGCCGGTGAAGCTCGCATTGCTGGCAACCTTCGTCGGTTCCCAACTTGCCAGTGCTTTGCCAGGCAGGAATCCCACCGGAGCAGCTTGCTGGGAAAAGCCAGGTAGAAATCCCACCGGTGGAGTTCGGACGCAGCGGGTTACGGGCGGAAATGGCACCGGTGCAGCTGGTATGGGGAATTCCAGGAAGGAAGAAGGCAGGAATCACACCGGTGCAGCTCGGTGGGAAAAGCCAGGTAGAAATCCAACCGGTGGAGTTTGGCTGGATTTCCAGGTGGCAATCACACCAGTGAAGCTAGAGCTGGCAAATGGGTTGCCAGCAGACAGGCGGAAATCACACCGGGGCAGCTTGGTGGGAAAAGCCAAAGCAGGGCTTTGCCAGGCAGGAATCACACCGGTCTAGCTTGGTGGGGGGAAAAGCCAGGTAGAAATCCCACCGGTGGAGTTCCAGGCGGAAATCCCACTGGTGTAGTTTGCGCTGGGAAATGGCCAGGAGACAGGTAGAAATCGCACCAGTGCAGCTTGGTGGAGAAAAGCCAGGTAGAAATTCCCCCGGTGGAGTTTGTATGCAGAGGATTGTGGGCGGAAATCCCACTGGTGAAGTTTGCGCTGGGAAATTGCCAGGAGACAGGTAGGAATCGCACCGGTGCAGCTTGGTGGAGAAAAGCCAGGTAGAAATTCCCCCGGTGGAGTTTGGAGGCAGAGGATTACGGGCGGAAATCCCACTGGTGAAGTTTGCGCTGGGAAATGGCCAGGAGACAGGTAGAAATCGCACCGGTGCAGCTTGGTGGAGAAAAGCCAGGTAGAAATCCCCCTGGTGGAGTTTGGATGCAGAGGATTCCGGGCGGAAATCCCACGGGTGAAGTTAGCTCAGGCATTTGGGTGGAGGGTCTGCAGTTCTCAAGCTGGCCAGAAGACGGGCAGAAATCTTAATGGTGCAGCTATGATTAAGAATTGGGGGGGCGGCCTGCAGTTCCCAAGGTGGCCGGAAGACGGGCGGAAATCCCACCGGTGCAGCTACTATTGCTGGCAACCTTGGGCAGGCGGAAGCAGTGCCTTGCCAGGCAGGAATCGCACCGGTGCAGCTCAGTGGGGGGGAAAGCCAGGTAGAAATCCCCTTGGTGGAGTTTGGGTGGAGTTGCGGGCGGAAATCCCACCGGCGAAGCTAGTGCTGGGAATTTGGGTGGAGTTGCAGGCAGAAAGCCAACCGGTGAAGCTAGCGCTGCGAAGTTGCCGGGAGACGGGCGGAAATCCCACCGGCGAAGCCAGCGCTGGGAAATGGCCACCAGACGGGCGGAAATCGCACTGGTGCAGCTACTATTGGGAATTGGGGTGGAGTCGCAGGCAGAAACCCAACTGGTGAAGCTAGTGCTGGGAAGTGGGTTGCCAGGGTGGCCAGCAGACAGGCGGAAATCGCACTGGTGCAGCTACTATTGGGAATTGGGGTGGAGTTGCAGGCAGAAACCCAACCGGTGCAGCTAGCGCTGTGAAGTTGCCGGGAGACGGGCGGAAATCCCGCCGGTGAAGCTCGCATTGCTGGCAACCTTCGTCGGTTCCCAACTTGCCAGTGCTTTGCCAGGCAGGAATCCCACCGGAGCAGCTTGCTGGGAAAAGCCAGGTAGAAATCCCACCGGTGGAGTTCGGACGCAGCGGGTTACGGGCGGAAATGGCACCGGTGCAGCTGGTATTGGGAATCCCAGGAAGGAAGAAGGCAGGAATCACACCGGTGCAGCTCGGTGGGGAAAGCCAGGTAGAAATCCCACCGGTGGAGTTTGGGTGGAGCTGCGGGCGGAAATCCCACCGGCGAAGCTGGTATTGGGAAATTGGCGGCAGGTGGGCAGAAATCCCAATGGTGCAGCTAGTCTTGGGAATGATGGGAATGGGCTCAAGTTCCCAAGGTTGCCAGCAGACAGGCGGAAATCACACTGGTGCAGCTAGTATTGGGAATTGGGGTGGAGTCGCAGGCAGAAACCCAACCGGTGAAGCTAGCCTGCAGTTTTCAAGGTTGCCAGCAGAGGAAGGAAGCAGGTAGGAATCACACCGGTGCAGCTCGGTGGGGAAAAGCCAGGTAGAAATCCCACCGGTGGAGTTTGGGTGGAGTTGCGGGCGGAAATCCCACCGGCGAAGCTAGTATTGGAAATGGGTTGCCAGCAGACGGGCGGAAATCGCACCGGTGCAGCTAGTATTGGGAATCGGGATTGACGGCCTGCAGTTCTCAAGGTGGCCGGCAGACGGGCGGAAATCCAACCGGCGAAGCTCGCCCTGGGAATGGGTTGCCAGGCTGCCCAGCAGACGGGCAGAAATCCCACTGGTGCAGCTAGTATTGCTGGCCACCTTAGTAAGTTCCCAAGCAGGCAGAAGGAGTGCTTTGCCAGGCAGGAATCCCACGGGTGCAGCGTGGTGGGGAAAGCCAGGTAGAAATCCCACCGGTGGAGTTTGGGTGGAGTTGCGGGCGGAAATCCCACCGGTGAAGCTAGTATTGGAAATGGGTTGCCAGCAGACAGGCGGAAATCCCACTGGTGCAGCTCGGTGGGAAAAGGCAGGTAGAAATCCCACCGGTGGAGTTTGGATGCAGGAGATACCGGGCGGCAATCCCACCGGCGAAGCTAGCGCTGGGAAATTGCCAGCAGACGGCCGGAAATCGCACTGGTGCAGCTAGTATTGGGAATTTGGGTGGAGTGGCAGGCGGAAATCTCACCGGCGAAGCTAGCGCTGGGAAATGGGCTGCCAGCAGACGGGCAGGAATCGCACCGGTGCAGCTCGGTGGGGAAAAGGCAGGTAGAAATCCCACCGGTGGAGTTTGGATGCAGGGGATACCGGGCGAAAATCCCACCGGCGAAGCTAGCGCTGGGAAATTGCCAGCAGACGGGCGGATATCGCACTGGTGCAGCTAGTATTGGGGACGGCCTGCAGTGCTTTGCCAGGCAGGAATCGCACCGGTGCAGCTTGGTGGGAAAAGCCAAAGCAGGGCTTTGCCAGGCAGGAATCGCACCGGTGCAGCTGGGTGGGGGGAAAGGCAGGTAGAAATTCCCCTGGTGGAGTTTGGATGCAGAGGATTCCGGGCGGAAATCCCACCGGCGAAGCTAGCGCTGGGAAATTGCCAGCAGACGGGCGGAAATCGCACTGGTGCAGCTAGTATTGGGAATTTGGGTGGAGTGGCAGGCGGAAATCTCACCGGTGAAGCTAGCGCTGGGAAATGGTTTGCCAGCAGACGGGCGGAAATCCCACTGGTGCAGCTTGGTGGGAAAAGCCAAAGCAGGGCTTTGCCAGGCAGGAATAACACTGGTGCAGCTTGGTGGGGAAAAGCCAGGTAGAAATCCCACCGGTGGAGTTTGGTTGGCGTTCCAGGCGGAAATCCCACTGGAGAAGCTAGCACTGGGAAATGTGTTGCCAGCAGACGGGCAGAAGTCCAACCGGTGAAGCTAGTGCTGGGAAATTGCCAGGAGACGGGCAGAAATCGCAATGGTGCAGCTAGCATTGGGAATTTGGGTGGAGTGGCAGGCGGAAATCCCACCGGCAAAGCTAGCGCTGGGAAATTGCCAGGAGACGGGCAGAAATCGCACTGGTGCAGCTAGTATTGGGGGGAAACGGGCTGCAGTTCTCAAGGTTGCCAGCCGAGGAAGGAAGCAGGCAGGAATAACACCGGTGCAGCTCGGTTGGGAAAAGCCAGGTAGAAATCCCACCGGTGGAGTTTGGATGCAGAGGAGTATTGGCGGTAATCCCACGGGTGAAGTTAGCTCTGGGAAATTGCCAGGAGACAGGTAGAAATCGCACCGGTGCAGCTTGGTGGAGAAAAGCCAGGTAGAAATCCCCCCGGTGGAGTTTGGAGGCAGAGGATTACGGGCGGAAATCCCACTGGTGAAGTTAGCTCTGGGAAATGGCCAGGAGACGGGTAGAAATCGCACCGGTGCAGCTTGGTGGAGAAAAGCCAGGTAGAAATCCCCCCGGTGGAGTTTGGATGGCGTTCCAGGCGGAAATCCCACTGGTGTAGTTTGCGCTGGGAAATGGCCAGGAGACAGGTAGGAATCGCACCGGTGCAGCTTGGTGGGGAAAAGCCAGGTAGAAATCCCCCCGGTGGAGTTTGGATGCAGAGGATTACGGGCGGAAATCCCACTGGTGAAATTTGCGCTGGGAAAGTGCCAGGAGACAGGTAGAAATCGCACCGGTGCAGCTCGGTGGGGAAAAGCCAGGTAGAAATCCCCCCGGTGGAGTTTGGATGCAGAGGATTACGGGCGGAAATCCCACGGGTGAAGCTAGTATTGGAAATGGGTTGGCAGCAGACAGGCGGAAATCCCACTGGTGCAGCTCGGTGGGAAAAGCCAGGTAGAAATCCCACCGGTGGAGTTTGGGGTGACTTCCAGGCGGAAATTCCACTGGTGAAGCTAGCGCTGGGAAAGGGGTTGCAAGGCTTGCCAACAGACGGGCAGAAATCCAACCGGTGAAGCTAGCGCTGGGAAATTGCCAGGAGACAGGCAGAAATCGCAATGGTGCAGCTACTATGGGGAATTTGGGTGGAGTGGCAGGCGGAAATCCCACCGGTGAAGCTAGTGCTGGGAAATGGGGGGAAACGGCCTGCAGTTCTCACGGTTGCCAGCCGAGGAAGGAAGCAGGTAGGAATCACACTGGTGCAGCTTGGTGGGGAAAAGCCAGGTAGAAATCCCACCGGTGGAGTTTGGATGCAGAGGATTACGGGCGGAAATCCCACGGGTGAAGTTAGCTCTTAATTATCTAAACGGATCATTCCATCTATTTAAAGGGGGATTTTCTTAATTATCTAAACGGATCATTCCATTTATTTAAAGGGGGATTTTCTTAATTATCTAAACGGATCATTCCATTTATTTAAAGGGGGATTTTCTTAATTATAAAAACGGATCATTCCATTGATTTTAAGGGGGATTTTCTTAATTATAACAACGGATCATTCCATTCATTTAAAGGGGGATTTTCTTAATTATCTAAACGGATCATTCCATTCATTTAAAGGGGGATTTTCTTAATTATATGAACGGATCATTCCATTTATTTAAAGGGGGATTTTCTTAATTATAACAACGGATCATTCCATTTATTTAAAGGGGGATTTTCTTAATTATAAAAACGGATCATTCCATTCATTTAAAGGGGGATTTTCTTAATTATCTAAACGGATCATTCCATTTATTTAAAGGGGGGTTTTCTTAATTATCCAAACGGAGCATTCCATTTATTTAAACGGGGGATTTTCTTAATTATAACAACGGAGCATTCCATTTATTTAAAGGGGGATTTTCTTAATTATCTAAACGGAGCATTCCATTTATTTAAAGGGGGATTTTCTTAATTATAACAACGGATCATTCCATTTATTTAAAGGGGGATTTTCTTAATTATCTAAACGGATCATTCCATTCATTTAAAGGGGGATTTTCTTAATTATCTAAAGGGATCATTCCATTCATTTAAAGGGGGATTTTCTTAATTATAAAAACGGATCATTCCATTTATTCAAAGGGGGGATTTCTTAATTATCTAAACGGATCATTCCATTTATTTAAAGGGGGATTTTCTTAATTATCTAAATGGATCATTCCATTTATTTAAAGGGGGATTTTCTTAATTATAACAACGGATCATTCCATTTATTTAAAGGGGGATTTTCTTAATTATCTAAATGGATCATTCCATTCATTTAAAGGGGGATTTTCTTAATTATCTAAACGGATCATTCCATTTATTTAAAGGGGGATTTTCTTAATTATCTAAACGGATCATTCCATTCATTTAAAGGGGGATTTTCTTAATTATCTAAACGGAGCATTCCATTTATTTAAAGGGGGATTTTCTTAATTATCTAAACGGATCATTCCATTCATTTAAAGGGGGATTTTCTTAATTATCTAAACGGATCATTCCATTTATTTAAACGGGGGATTTCTTAATTATCTAAACGGAGCATTCCATTCATTTAAAGGGGGATTTTCTTAATTATAACAACGGATCGTTCCATTTATTTAAAGGGGGATTTTCTTAATTATAAAAACGGATCATTCCATTTATTTAAAGGGGGATTTTCTTAATTATCTAAACGGATCATTCCATTCATTTAAAGGGGGATTTTCTTAATTATAAAAACGGATCATTCCATTTATTTAAAGGGGGGTTTCTTAATTATCTAAACGGATCATTCCATTTATTTAAAGGGGGTTTTCTTAATTATAAAAACGGATCATTCCATTTATTTAAAGGGGGGTTTCTTAATTATCTAAACGGATCATTCCATTTATTTAAAGGGGGTTTTCTTAATTATCTAAACGGATCATTCCATTCATTTAAAGGGGGGTTTCTTAATTATCTAAATGGATCATTCCATTCATTTAAAGGGGGATTTTCTTAATTATCTAAACGGATCATTCCATTTATTTAAAGGGGGATTTTCTTAATTATCTAAATGGATCATTCCATTTATTTAAAGGGGGATTTTCTTAATTATCTAAATGGATCATTCCATTTATTTAAAGGGGGATTTTCTTAATTATAAAAACGGATCATTCCATTTATTTAAAGGGGGATTTTCTTAATTATAAAAACGGAGCATTCCATTTATTTAAAGGGGGATTTTCTTTATTATCTAAACGGATCATTCCATTTATTTAAAGGGGGGTTTTCTTAATTATTCAAACGGAGCATTCCATTTATTTAAAGGGGGGTTTTCTTAATTATATGAACAGATCATTCCATTTATTTAAAGGGGGATTTTCTTAATTATAAAAACGGAGCATTCCATTCATTTAAAGGGGGATTTTCTTAATTATAAAAACGGATCATTCCATTTATTTAAAGGGGGGATTTCTTAATTATCTAACTGGATCGTTCCATTTCTTCCAAAAGGGGGGTTTAATTTTCAAAACGGAGCGTTCCAATTATTCAAAGGGGGGTTTCTTAATTATCTAAATGGATCATTCCATTTATTTAAAGGGAGGATTTCTTAATTATCTAACTGGATCGTTCCAATGCTCCCAAAAGGGGGGAGGTTTAATTATCAAAACGGAGCGTTCCAATTATTCAAAGGGGGATTTAATTTTCTAAACGGATCCTTCCATTTATTTAAAGGGGGGGTTCTTAATTATCTAATTGGATCATTCCATTTATTTAAAGGGGGGATTTCTTAATTATCTAACTGGATCGTTCCAATTCTCCCAAAAGGGGGGTTTAATTTTCAAAACGGAGCGTTCCATTTCTTCAAAGGGGGGGTTTCTTAATTATCTAAATGGATAATTCCATTTATTTAAAGGGGGATTTTCTTAATTATAAAAACGGATCATTCCATTTCTCCCCAAAGGGGGTGTGTGTCTCCTCCTCAAATCTCCGCCTTCCGCAACTCGAACCCGGAACCCGACCGGCCAATCGGACGTCCGGAATCGCTTCCCCCCCCCCTTATCAAAAAGCGGACCGTTCCAGGATGATTGACAGCCGTCCATCCCGACCCCAAACCGGGCCCCCCCCCCCCCCGAAAAAAGACACGGCACAAAATCTCTATTAAAATAACTATATTTCATATTTTCAATATGGGGAAAACGGGACGTTCCATTCGGTAGAAAACGGGGGGGGGATGTGTGAATTTTTTGGGGGGTCAAAGGGAGACGAGCAGCAATTGAATTGACAGTTCATATAATTAATATATATATATATATATAATTAATTAATATATATATATTATTAATATATATACTATTAATATATATATATATATATCAATATATATATATAAAAACACACAAACTCCCCTCTTTGAAGACATTAAATGGAATTGTCCACAGAAACCCAAATATTTTTCTCCCCCATTTGAAGACATTAAATGGTATTATTATTAATATATATATATTATTAATATATATACTATTAATATATATATATTAATATATATATATAAAAACACACAAACTCCCCCCTTTGAAGACATTAAATGGTATTTTCCACAGAAACCCAAATATTTTCCCCCCATTTGAAGACATTAAATGGTATTATTATTAATATATATATATTATTAATATATATACTATTAATATATATATATTAATATATATATATAAAAACACACAAACTCCCCTTTGAAGACATTAAATGGTATTTTCCACAGACACCCAAATATTTTTCTCCCCCATTTGAAGACATTAAATGGTATTATTATTAATATATATATATTATTAATATATATACTATTAATATATATATATATATCAATATATATATATAAAAACACACAAACTTCCCCCTTTGAAGACATTAAATGGTATTGTCCACAGAAACCTAAATATTTTTCCCCCCATTTGAAGACATTAAATGGTATTATTATTAATATATATATATTATTAATATATATATTATTAATATATATACTATTAATATATATATATATATAAAAACACACAAACTCCCCTCTTTGAAGACATTAAATGGAATTTTCCACAGAAACCCAAATATTTTTCTCCCCCATTTGAAGACATTAAATGGTATTATTATTAATATATATATATTATTAATATATATACTATTAATATATATATATTAATATATATATATATAAACACACAAACTCCCCCCTTTGAAGACATTAAATGGTATTTTCCACAGAAACCCAAATATTTTTCTCCCCCATTTGAAGACATTAAATGGAATTTTCCACAGAAACCCAAATATTTTTCTCCCCCATTTGAAGACATTAAATGGTATTTTCCACCCCATAAAGAGTTTCTGCCCCATAAAATGGCGGCAAATGTCAGAATTGGGGGGCAAATCTTAGAATTGGGGGGTAAATGTCGGAATTTGGGCAGCAAATGTCAGAATTCAGGGGGCAAAATGGGGGAAATGCAGAATTTGGGGGGCAAATGTCAGAATTTGGGGGGAAATCTTAGAATTGGTGGGTAAATGTCGGAATTTGGGCAGCAAATGTCAGAAATTGGGGGGCAAAACGGGGGCAAATCTTAGAATTGGGGGGGCAAATGTCAGAATTTGCTGGGAAATCTCAGAGTTTGGGGGGCAAAACGGGGGGAAATCTCAGAATCTGGGTGGCAAATGTAAGAATTTGTGGGGAAATCTCAGAATTTGGGGGCAAATCTTAGAATTGGGGGGGTAAATGTCAGAATTTGGGGGGAAATCTCAGGATTTGGGGGGCAAAACGGGGGGAAATCTCAGAATCTGGGTGGCAAATCTCAGAATTTGGGGGGAAATCTCAGGATTTGGGGGGCAAAACGGGGGGAAATCTCAGAATCTGGGTGGCAAACCTCAGAATTTGCTGGGAAATCTCAGAATTTGGGGGGGGAAACGGGGGGAAATCTCAGAATTTGGGCGGCAAATGTCAGAATTTGCTGGGAAATCTCAGAATTTGGGGGGGGGAAACGGGGGGAAATCTCAGAATTTGGGCGGCAAATCTCAAAATTTGGGGGCAAATCTCAGAATTTGGGGGGGAAACGGGGGGAAATCTCAGAATTTGGGCGGCAAATGTCAGAATTTGGGGGGAAATCTCAGGATTTGGGGGGCAAATCTCAGAATTTGCTGGGAATACTCAGAATTTGGGCAGCAAATGTCAGAATTCAGGGGGCAAACGGCAGAATTTGGGGGGAAATCTCAGAATTTGGGCGGCAAATCTCAGAATTTGGGGGGGGACGGGGGGAAATCTCAGAATCTGGGTGGCAAATCTCAGAATTTGGGGGGAAATCTCAGAATTTGGGGGCAAATCTCAGAATTTGCTGGGAATACTCAGAATTTGGGCGGCAAATGTCAGAATTCAGGGGGCAAACGGCAGAATTTGGGGGGAAATCTCAGAATTTGGGCGGCAAATCTCAGAATTTGGGGGGCGAAACGGGGGGAAATCTCAGAATCTGGGTGGCAAATCTCAGAATTTGCTGGGAAATCTCAGAATTTGGGGGGCAAATCTCAGAATTTGCTGGGAAATCTCAGAATCTGGGAGGCGAAACGGGGCAAAACCTCAGAATCTGGGTGGGAAATCTCAGAATATGGGCTGTTTTGGGGGAGTCAATGGGGGGTCCGCCCCCCAAAAGAGGCAACACTGCGCAGCAAGAGAGGTAGATGGCGAGGGTAGATGGCGGCGGGTTCGAGTCGTGCTTCCGACGTGCGCAGAAGTCCTCGGTCCCGGGTTCGAGTCACGCTCTTCCAAAGGGTGCCGAAGTCCTCAGCAGTCGCGGGTTCAAGTCCATGGATGCCTGAAGTCCTCGGCGGCGGCGGGTTCGAGTCTTGCGCACTGACAACAGGCGCACGAAGTCCTCGGCGGCGGCGGGTTCGAGTCTTGCGCACTCACAACAGGCGCATGAAGTCCTCGGCAGCGGCGGGTTCGAGTCTTGCGCACTCACAACAGGCGCACGAAGTCCTCGGCGGCGGCGGGTTCAAGTCGCAGGCTTCCAACGGGCGCAAGAAGCCCTCGGTCCCGGGTTCGAGTCATGCGCTTCCAACAGGCGCATGAAGTCCTCGGCAGTGCTGGGTTCGAATCACGCACTGGCAACAGGCACATGAAGTCCTCTGGGGTGACGGGTTCGAGTTGCGCGCTCCCATCAAGCCGGTCCTGGGTTCGAGTCATGCGCTTCCAACTGGCGCATGAAGTCCTTGGCAGCGGTGGGTTGAGGGTTCGAGTGACGCGCTTCCAACTGGCGCATGAAGTCCTTGGCAGTGGTGGGTTGCGGGTTCGAGTGATGCGCTTCCAACTGGCGCATTAAGTCCTCGGCAGTGCTGGGTTCGAATCATGCACTGGCAACAGGCCCATGAAGTCCTCTGGGGTGACGGGTTCGAGTTGCGCGTTCCCATCAAGTCGGTCCCGGGTTCGAGTCATGCGCTTCCGAAGGGCGCACAAAGTCCTGGGCAGTGGTGGGCGATGGGTTCAAGTCATGCGCTTCCAAGGGGCGCATTAAGTCCTGGTGGTTGTGAGTTCGAGTCGCTGGCAGGGATGGGTTCAAGTTGTGTGCTTGGCACATGATGCGCACCTTCAGTTCTCTGCAGTGCTAGGTGCCGGGTTCAAGTCACGCGCTCCCAACCCGTGCATGAAGCCCTGGTCATGGGTTCGAGTGGCGCGCTCCCAACAGGCCCATCAAGTCCCGGCCATGGGTTCAAGTCCTGTGCTTCCGATTGGCGCATAAGTGGGTGGTGGGTTCGAGTCATGGGCTTGCAAGAGGCCCCTGAAGTCCTGGCTGTGGGTTCGAGACATGCGCTCCCAACAGGCCCATTAAGTCCTGGCTGTGGGTTCGAGTCATGCGCTTGCAAGAGGCCCCTGAAGTCCTGGTTGTGGGTTCGAGACATGCGCTCCCAACAGGCCCATTAAGTCCTGGCTGTGGGTTCGAGTCATGAGCTTGCAAGAGGCCCCTGAAGCCCTGGCTGTGGGTTCGAGTCATGCGCTCCCAACAGGCCCATGAAGTCCTCTGCAGTGCGCTGGGTTCAAATCGCGCCTTTCCAACAGGCCCATTAAATCCCCGGCCGTGGGTTCGAATCATGCGCTCCCAACAGGCCCATGAAGTCCCGGCCGTGGGTTCAAGTCCTGCGCTTCCGATTGGTGTGGGTTCGACTCATGCGCTCCCAACAGGCCCATTAAATCTGCAGTGCTGGGCGACGGGTTCAAGTCGCGCACTTCCGACAGTCGCATTGCAGTGCCAGGTGCCGGGTTCAAATCGCACCCTTCCCTGGCCAGGGGTTCGAGTCACACCTTTCCCAAGGGCGCATAAGTCCTCGCTTCTGGGTTCAAATGGCGCGCTCCCAACAGGCCCCTTCAATCCTGGGTTGCGGGTTCAAGTCATGCGCTTCCGACAGGCCCACGAAGTCCTCAGCCGCGGTGGGTTGTGGGTTCGAGTGATGAGCACATTCAATCCCGGCCCTGGGTTCGAGTCATGCGCTTCCAAGGAGCACATTCAGCCCTTGGTTCTGGGTTCGAGTCATGTGCTTCCAAGTGGCGCATTAAATCCTGGCCATGGGTTCAAGTCATGCGCTCCCAACAGCCACATTAAATCCCCGGTCGTGGGTTCGAGTCATGCGCTTGCAACAGGCACATGATGCGCTCTCAACAGGCCCATTAAGTCCTCAGCAGTGGCAGGTCGCGGGTTCAAGTCATGCGCTTCCAACAGGCACATGATGCGCTCTCAACAGGCCCATTAAGTCCTCAGCAGTGGCAGGTGGTGGGTTCGAGTCATGCGCTTCCAACAGGCACATGATGCGCTCTCAACAGGCCCATTCAGTCCTCAGCAGTGGCAGGTCGCGGGTTCAAGTCATGCGCTCCCAACAGCCACATTCAATCCCCGGTTGTGGCTTTGAATCATGCGCTTCCCAAATGCGCATCAAGTCCCGGCCACGGGTTCAAGTCACGCGCTTCCAAGTGGCGCATGAAATCCCCGGTCGCGGGTTCGAATCATGCGCTCAATCGCATCATGTTCAAGTGGCGCATTTCCGACAGCCCCATTCAATCCTCGGTTGCGGGTTCAAGTCATGCGCTTCCGGCAGGCCCATTCAATCCCAGTCGTGGGTTCGACTCATGCGCTTCGAACAGCCCCATCAAATCCCCGGTCCCGGGTTCAAGTCATGCGCTCTCAACAGCCACATTCAATCCTCGGTCCCGGGTTCGAGTCATGCGCTCCCAACAGCCACATTAAATCCTCGGTCCTGGGTTCGAGTCATGCGCTCCCAAAAGCCACATTAAATCCTCGGTCATGGGTTCGAGTTATGCGCTCCCAACAGCCACATTTAATCCACGGTCATGGGTTCGACTCATGCGCTCCCAACAGCCCCATCAAATCCCCAGTCCTGGGTTCGAGTCATGCACTCCCAACAGCCACATTAAATCCTCGGTCATGGGTTCGAGTCATGCGCTCCCAACAGCCACATTAAATCCTCGGTCATGGGTTCGAGTGATGCGCTTCCAACATGCCCATTAAGTCCTTGGCAGTGCTGGCCCATTAAGTCCTCTGCGGTGGCAGGTCATGGGTTCGAGTCATGCGCTTCCAACAGGCAAATGATGCGCATAAGTCCAACAGGCGCATAAGTCCTCAGCGGCGGTGGGTTGCGGGTTCGAGTCATGCGCTCCCAACAGGCCCATCAAGTCCTCTGCAGTGCTGGGTGATGGGTTCAAATCATGCGCTTCCAACAGGCACATGATGCACTCTCAACAGGCGCATAAGTCCTCAGCGGCGGTGGGTTGTGGGTTCGAGTCATGCGCTCCCAACAGGCCCATCAAGTCCTCTGCAGTGCTGGGTGCTGGGTTCGAGTCATGCGCTTCCAACAGGCACATGATGCGCATAAGTCCAACAGGCGCATAAGTCCTCAGCGGCGGTGGGTTGTGGGTTCGAGTGATGCGCTCCCAACAGGCCCATTAAGTCCTTTGCGGTGGCAGGTCATGGGTTCGAGTCATGCGCTCCCAACAGGCAAATGATGCGCATAAGTCCAACAGGCGCATAAGTCCTCAGCGGCGGTCGGTTGTGGGTTCGAGTGATGCGCTCTCAACAGGCCCATCAAGTCCTCTGCAGTGCTGGGTGATGGGTTCAAATCATGCGCTTCCAACAGGCACATGACGCACTCTCAACAGGCGCATAAGTCCTCAGCGGCGGTGGGTTGTGGGTTCGAGTCATGCGCTCCCAACAGGCCCATCAAGTCCTCTGCAGTGCTGGGTGCTGGGTTCAAGTCATGCGCTCCCAACACGCCCATCAAGTCCCGGCCATGGGTTCAAGTTGCACATTTCCCCGGTCATGGGTTCGACTCATGCGCTCCCCACAAGCCCATCAAGTCCTCTCCAGTGCTGGGCGACGGGTTCAAATCATGCGCTTCCGACAAGCCATGGGTTCAAGTCGCACATGTCCTCGGTTGTGGGTTCGAGTCACACGCTTCCAAGGAGCACAGTAAGTCCTGGGTTCAAGTTGCGCGCTCTCAGCAGCCCCATTCAATCCCAGCCGTGGGTTCGACTCATGCGCTCCCAACAAGCCCATCAAGTCCCGGCCAGGGGTTCGAGTCATGCGCTCCCAACCGCCCCATCAAGTCCTCTGCAGCGGGTTCAAGTCATGCGCATTGGCCACGGGTTCAAATCGCACCCTTCCAACGGGCGCACAAGTCCTCGGTCCTGGGTTCAAGTTGCTCATTCCCAACAGCCCCATTCAATCCCCGGTCATGGGTTCGAGTCATGCGCTTCCAACAGGCACATGATGCGCCCTCAGCAGGCCCATTAAGTCCTCAGCAGTGGCAGGTGGTGGGTTCAAATCGTGCGCTCCCAACATTCCCATTAAATCCCAGGTTGCGGGTTCGAATGGTGCGCTCCCAACAGACCCATAGAGTCCTGGCTACGGGTTCAAACTGCGCACTCCCAACAGCCCCATCAAATCCCCAGTCGTGGGTTCGACTCATGCGCTCCCAACAGGCTTCACGTTGCACATTTAAGTCCTGGCTACGGGTTCAAGTCGCACATTCCGTCCTTGGTTGGGGGTTCAAGTCATGCGCTCCCAACACGCCCATTAAGTCCTGGCCATGGGCTCAAATCGCACCCTCCCAACAGGCACATAAGTCCTCACCGGTAGTGGGTTCAAGTTATGCGCTTCCAACGCATGGGTTCAAATTGCGCACTCCCATTCAGTCCCAGTTGCGGGTTCAAATCGCACATTCCCAACATTCAATCCCAGTTGCCATGCGCTTCCAAGTGGCGCATAAGCCCTCGGTTGGGGGTTCAAGCCATGCGCTTTGGCCACGGGTTCAAATCGCACCCTTCCAACGGGCGCACAAGTCCTCGGTCCCGGGTTCAAGTTGCTCCATTCAATCCCCAGTCATGCGCTCCCAACAGGCTTCACCTCGCACATTTAAGTCCTGGCTACGGGTTCAAGTCGCACATTCCGTCCTCGGTTGCGGGTTCAAGCCATGCGCTCACAACACGCCCATTAAGTCCCGGCCATGGGCTCAAATCGCACCCTCCCAACAGGCACATAAGTCCTCACCGGTAGCGGGTTCAAGTTATGCGCTTCCAACGCATCAAGTCCTTGGCCATGGGTTCAAATTGCGCACTCCCAACAGGCCCAGTAAACCCCAGTTGTGGGTTCAAGTTGTGCGCTCCCAACATGCCCATTAAGTCCCGGCCATGGGTTCGAGTCATGCACTTGCAAGTGGTGCATTAACTCCTCGGTTGTGGGTTCACATCGCACACTTCTAATGGGCGCATTAAGTCCTCGGCCCTGGGTTCAAATTGCGCACTCCCATTCAGTCCCAGTTGCGGGTTCAAATCGCACATTCCCAACAGTCAATCCCCAGTCATGGGTTCGACTCATGCGCTCCCAACAGGCTTCACCTCGCACATTTAAGTCCTGGCCACGGGTTCAAGTCGCACATCCCGTCCTCGGTTGGGGGTTCAAGTCATGCGCTCCCAACCGCCCAATAACGTCCTCTGCGGTGGTGGGTCGTGGGTTCGAGTTATGTGCTTCCAAGGGGCACATTAAGTCCTGGCCATGGGTTCAAGTTGCACATTTCCAAGGGGCGCACAAGTCCTCGGTCCTGGGTTCAAGTCGCTCCCTTCAATCCCCAGCCATGCGCTCCCAACAGGCTTCACCTCGCACACTTAAGTCCTGGCTACGGGTGCAAGTCGCACATTCGGTTGCGGGTTCAAGCCACGCGCTCCCAAGGCGTCCCATCCTCCTCAGCGGCCCCGGGTTCGAGCCCCGCCCCCTTACGAGGGCCCTCCTCCGCCTCCCCCGCCCCCCCGGGCCTTGGCCACCAAATAGAGCACTATATCCTGGTGACCCGAAAAGGCCGCCATGTGCAATGCGCTCCAGCCGTCCCTGTTGGCCAATCGCACGTCGGCTCCAAATCTGACCAATAGCTTCACGAGTTCCAGGTTCCCGTCGCTCACCGATTGGTGCAAAGCCGTCTGGCCCTCCGGCCCGAAGGCGTTGACGTTGAATTCGCACGAGTTCATGGTGCGCAAGAGGGCGTGCACGGCCGCCGTGTTGCCGGCGCGCACGGCGTCCCGGAAGAGGCGCTCGCCGGGCGCGGGGGGCGGGGATAAGGGAGGGGGGGGGGAGAGGGGAGCTCGGCTTGGTTCATGGTGCGAGGGCGCGGGTGCGAGGATTCGGGGTCTGGGTTCGAGGATTCGTGCGCCGGGTTCGAGGATTTGAAGGTTTCTGGTTCTGGGTTCGAGGATTCGAAGGATTCTGGTTCTGGGTTCAAGGATTCTGGTTCTGGGTTCGAGGATTCAGAGTTGCCTGGGTTCTGGGTTCGAGGGTTTGGAGAGTTCTGGGTTCGAGGAGACGAAGGATTCTGGTTCTGGGTTCGAGGAGACGAAGGATTCTGGCGCCGGGTTCGAGGATTAGTGCGCCGGGTGCGAGGATTCTGGGTCTGGGTTCGAGGAGACGAAGGATTCTGGCGCCGGGTTCAAGGATTAGTGCGCCGGGTTCGAGGATTTGAAGGTTTTTGGTTCTGGGTTCGAGGATACGAAGGATTCTGGCTCTGGGTTCGAGGATTCAAAGGATTCTGGTTCTGGGTTCGAGGAGACGAAGGATTCTGGCTCTGGGTTCGAGGATTAGTGCGCCGGGTTCAAGGATTTGAAGGTTTCTGGTTCTGGGTTCGAGGAGACGAAGGATTCCGGCTCTGGGTTCGAGGATACGAAGGATTCTGGCTCTGAGTTCGAAGATCAGTGCGCCGGGTTCGAGGATTCGAAGCCTTCTGGGTTCTGGCGCTGGGTTCGAGGATTCGAAGGATTCTGGCTCTGGGTTCGAGGAGACGAAGGATTCCGGCTCTGGGTTCGAGGAGACGAAGGATTCTGGCTCTGGGTTCGAGGATCCGTGCGCCGGGTTCGAGGATTCGGAGCCTTCTGGGTTCTGGCGCCGGGTGCGAGGATGCTGCGTCTGGGTTCGAGGAGACGAAGGATTCTGGGTTCTGGGTTCAAGGATTAGTGCGCCGGGTTCGAGGATTTGGAGAATTCTGGTGCCGGGTTCGAGGATTCGATGGTTTCTGGTTCTGGGTTTGAGGATTCGAAGCCTTCTGGGTTCTGGCGCCGGGTGCGAGGAATTAAAGGTTTCTGGGTTCAAGGATACGAAGGATTCCGGCTCTGGGTTCGAGGATTTGGAGAATTCTGGATTAGTGTGCCGGGTTCGAGGATTCGAAGGATTCTGGTTCTGGGTTCGAGGATTTGGAGGATTCTGGATTAGTGCGCCGGGTTTGAGGATTCGAAGCTTTCTGGTTCTGGGTTCGAGGATTCGAAAGATTCTGGCTCTGGGTTCGAGGATTTGGTGAATTCTGGATTAGTGCGCCGGGTTCGAGGATTCGAAGCCTTCTGGGTTCTGGCGCCGGGTTCGAGGATTTGAAGGTTTCTGGTTCTGGGTTGGAGGATTTGAAGGTTTCTGGTTCTGGGTTCGAGGATTCAGAGCCGCCTGGGTTCTGGCTCTGGGTTCGAGGGTTTGGGTTAGGGACCTCAGAGATGGAGTGAGGAGGTTAAGGACCCGCCAGCCAATGGGGTGAGGAGGTTAAGGACCCCCCAAGGGTCTAAGTTGAGGGTTCAAGGAATCGAAGGATTCTGGGTTCTGGCGCCGGGTTCGAGGGTTTGGGTTAGGGACCTCAGAGATGGAGTGAGGAGGTTAAGGACCCGCCAGCCAATGGGATAAAGAGGTTAGGGAGCTGCCAGCCAATGGGGTGAGGAGGTTAAGGACCCCCAAGGGGGAGTTAAGGCCGAGGTTAGAGCCCCTTCTGGGGGGTGCTAGCCCAGCCCGGGTTCAAGAGGAGGGGTTAAGGACCTCCCCCAAGGGGTTAAGGAGGCTCTGAAGGGGAGGGTTAAAGACCCCACTAGCCCCACCTGCTTAAGGACCCCCCCAATGGGTCCAGGGTTCAAGACCCCCCCCCGGTTAAAGACCCCCCGAAAGGGTTCAGGAAATGGAGTTGCGGGTTCAAGGGAGAGTTAGGGACCTGCCCCCCAATCGGCTACGGGTTAAGGACCCTTCGGATGGGAGGCTTGGAGTTAGGGAGGGAAAGGGTTAAGGAGGAGGGGGGTTAAACACCTAGATAGGGTGGGGTTAGAGCCCCGTCCGGGGCTCCGGGTTCGAGGATTTGAAGTTAAGGACCTCGCCTATGGGGCGAGTTGGGGGTTAAAGACCCCCAGGCAATGGGATAAAGAGGTTAGGGACCTCACCTATGGGGCAGGTTGGGGGTTAAAGACCCCCAGCCAATGGGAGGAAGAGGTTAAGGACCTCGCCTATGGGGCAGGTTGGGGGTTAAGGACCCGCCAGCCAATGGGACGAAGCGGTTAGGGAGCCCCCAGCCAATGGGTGAGGAGGTTAAGGACCCCCCAAGGGTCTAAGTTGAGGGTTCAAGGAATCGAAGGATTCTGGGTTCTGGCGCCGGGTTCGAGGGTTTGGGTTAGGGACCTCAGAGATGGGGTGAGGAGGTTAAGGACCCGCCAACCAATGGGATGAAGAGGTTAGGGAGCTGCCAGCCAATGGGATAAAGAGGTTAAGGACCCCCCAGCCAATGGGGTGAGGAGGTTAAGGACCCGCCAGCCAATGGGACAAAGAGGTTAGGAACCCGCCAGCCAATGGGATGAAGAGGTTAGGGAGCTGCCAGCCAATGGGGTGAGGAGGTTAAGGACCCCCCAGCCAATGGGATAAAGAGGTTAAGGACCCCCCAGCCAATGGGACAAAGAGGTTAGGGAGCTGCCAGCCAATGGGATAAAGAGGTTAGGGACCCCCCAGCCAATGGGATAAAGAGGTTAAGGACCCCCCAGCCAATGGGGTGAGGAGGTTAAGGACCCCCCAGCCAATGGGGTGAGGAGGTTAAGGACCCCCCAGCCAATGGGGTGAGGAGGTTAAGGACCCCCCAGCCAATGGGATAAAGAGGTTAGGGACCCGCCAGCCAATGGGGTGAGGAGGTTAAGGACCCCCCAAGGGTCTAAGTTGGGGGTTCAAGACCCCCCACTAGCCCCACCTGGTTAGGGACGCTGCAAGGGGAGGTAAGGCCGAGGTTAGAGCCCCTTCTGGGGGGAGTTGTGGATTCCGGCTCTGGGTTCGAGGATTCGAAGGGTTCCGGGTTCGAGGGTTGGGCTTAGGGACCTCAGAGACGGGGCGAGGAGGTTAAGGACCCGCCAGCCAATGGGAGGAAGAGGTTAGGGAGCTGCCAGCCAATGGGAGGAAGAGGTTAGGGACCCCCCAATGGGCTAAGTTGGGGGTTCAAGACCCCCCCCACCCGGTTAAGGACGTTCCAAGGGGGAGTTAGAGCCCCTTCTGGGGGGGGTGCTAGCGCAGCCCGGGTTCAAGAGGAGGGGTTAAGGACCCCCCCAATGGGTTAAGAAGGTTCCGGAAGGGAGTTTGGGGTTCAAGACCTCCCCCCCCGGTTAAGGACCTTCCAAGGGGGAGTTAAGGACCCCCTGCCAATGGGTTCCGGGTTCAAGAGCCCCCCAAAGAGTTCAGGAAAGGGAGTCGAGGGCGTCCCAGTCTCCCCAGTTTGGACTGGTTTAAGGGGGGGGTTGAGAAAGGGGTTAGGGAGCCAATTAGGGGCGTCCCAGTCTCCCCAGTTTGGACTGGTTTAAGGGGGGGAGAATGGGGTTAAAGACCCCTCTTAGGGAGCCAATTAGGGGCGTCCCAGTCTCCCCAGTTTGGACTGGTTTAAGGTGGGGGGAGAATGGGGTTAGGGAGCCGAGTTCGGGGCGTCCCAGTCTCCCCAGTTTGGACTGGTTTGGGGGGAGAATGGGGTTAGGGAGCCGAGTTAGGGGCGTCCCAGTCTCCCCAGTTTGGACTGGTTTAAGGGGGGGGAGAATGGGGTTAGGGAGCCAGTTAGGGGCGTCCCAGTCTCCCCAGTTTGGACTGGTTTGGGGGGAGAATGGGGTTAGGGAGCCAGTTAGGGGCGTCCCAGTCTCCCCAGTTTGGACTGGTTTGGGGGGAGAATGGGGTTAGGGAGCCAAGTTAGGGGCGTCCCAGTCTCCCCAGTTTGGACTGGTTTAAGGTGGGGGGGGAGAATGGGGTTAGGGAGCCAATTAGGGGCGTCCCAGTCTCCCCAGTTTGGACTGGTTTAATGGGGGGGAGAAACTGGGGAAACTGGGGAACTGGGGAAACTGGGGAACTGCCCCCCCTCTTTTAAACTGGGGAAACTGGGGAAACTGGCCGCCCCTCTTTTAAACTGGGGAAACTGGCCTCCCTCTTTTAAACTGGGGAAACTGGGGAACTGGCCACCTCTCTTTTAAACTGGGGGAACTGGCCACCCCTCTTTTAAACTGGGGAAACTGGGGAACTTGCCCCCCTCTTTTAAACTGGGGGAACTGGGGAAACTGGTCTCCCCTCTTTTAAACTGGGGAAACTGGGGAAACTGGCCGCCCCTCTTTTAAACTGGGAAACTGGTCCCCCTCTTTTAAACTGGGGAAACTGGGAAACTGGCCCCCCTCTTTTAAACTGGGGAAACTGGGGAAACTGGCCGCCCCTCTTTTAAACTGGGGGAACTGGGGAACCGGCCCCCCTCTTTTAAACTGGGGAAACTGGGGAAACTGGGCCCCCTCTTTTAAACTGGGGGAACTGGGGAAACTGGCCGCCCCTCTTTTAAACTGGGGGAACTGGCCGCCCCTCTTTTAAACTGGGGAAACTGGGGAAACTGGGGAAACTGGTCCCCCTCTTTTAAACTGGGGAAACTGGGGGGGGCGTCTCTATCTCTTCTCTATGACCCCCCCCCAAAAAAACACCCTAGTCCTCCTCCTGGTTGGCTGAGAAACCCCGTTTTTTTTTTCAATGGGGGGGTCCAATGGATGGGGGGGTTCAATCGATAAGGGGGGGTCCAATCGATAAGGGGGGGTCCAATCGATAGGGGGGGTTCAATCGATAAGGGGGGGTCCAATCAATAAGGGGGGGTCCAATCGATAAGGGGGGTCCAATTAATAGGGGGGGTCGTCCCAAAAAATATATATATCCCCCCCTCCTCCTAGTCCTCCCTTTCAATGGGAATTTTTTGGGGGGGGGGAATTGAGGTGAACCTTCGTCCGGGGGGGCTCCTCTTTCCGGGGGGGTCCAATCGATAGGGGGGGGTCCAATGGATAAGGGGGGGTCAAATCGATAGGGGGGTCCAATCAATAAGGGGGGGTTCAATCGATAGGGGGGTCCAATGGATAAGGGGGGGTCAAATCGATAAGGGGGGGTCCAATGGATAGGGGGGGTCCAATGGATAGGGGGGGTCCAATCAATAAGGGGGGGTCCAATCAATAGGGGGGGTCCAAAAATATATATATATCCCCCCCCCTCCTCCTAGTCCTCCCTTTCAATGGGAAATTTTTTGGGGGGGGAATTGGGGTTCGGGTGAACCTTCTTTCTGACCCCCCCAAATAATTCCTCCTTCTAGGCCCCCCCACCTCCCTCTCTTTCAACCCGGGGGGGGGATTGGATTGGGGGGGTCACTCTCTCGGCTCCTCTTTCTGGGGGGGCGAACCCCAAAATATTCCTCCTTCTAGTCCTTTCTTTCAAGGGGGGGGAATGGAAAAGGGATTGGGGGGGTCTCTCTCTCTCTCTCCTCCAAACCTCGTCCCCCCGGTTTTTTAATTTGGGGGGGGCGTCCGATAAATAAGGGGGGCCCCCCCGATCCGCTAGTCCTCCCCCTGGTCCTCTCAAAGCCCCCCCCGGTTTTTTAATTTGGGGGGGGTCCTCCTTCCTCTGGGGTGGGGGGCGAACCCCCAAAATAATATTATCCCCCCCCCCCAACCAAACCTCCTCGCAGTCCTCCGCTCGGTCCTCTCCCTTCCAATGGGGGTGTCAATCAATCGTCCTTCCCATGGGGGGGTCAATCAATGGGGGTGTCAATCAATCGTCCTTCCAATGGGGGTGTCAATCAATCTTCCTTCCCAATGGGGGTGTCAATCAATCAATCGTCCTTCCAATGGGGGTGTCAATCAATCGTCCTTCCAATGGGGGTGTCAATCAATCTTCCTTCCCATGGGGGTGTCAATCAATCAATCTTCCTTCCCATGGGGGTGTCAATCAATCGTCCTTCCCATGGGGGGGTCAATCAATGGGGGTGTCAATCAATCTTCCTTCCCAATGGGGGTGTCAATCAATCAATCGTCCTTCCAATGGGGGTGTCAATCAATCGTCCTTCCAATGGGGGTGTCAATCAATCGTCCTTCCAATGGGGGTGTCTCTTTCCAATGGGGGTGTCAATCAATCGTCTTTCCAATGGGGGTGTCTCTTTCCAATGGGGGTGTCAATCAATCGTCCTTCAATGGGGGTGTCAATCAATCGTCCTTCCAATGGGGGTGTCTCTTTCCAATGGGGGTGTCAATCAATCTTCCTTCCCATGGGGGTGTCTCTTTCCAATGGGGGTGTCAATCAAAAAAATAGGGGGGGCCCCGATCTAGTCCTCCGCGCGGTCCGCCCCTTTTCAATATGGGGGGGTGTCAATCAAAAAATGGGGGGGTCCTCTCCTTTCCAATATGGGGGGGTGTCAATCAAAAAATGGCCCCCCCGATCTAGTCCTCCCTCTAGTCCTCCGCCCGGTCCTCTCCTTCCCAATATGGGGGGGCTGGAAAGAATTGTGGGGGGGCTGGAACGAATTGGAGATTTCTCTCCCCCCCCCAGCCCCACCGGCTCGGAAAACCTCGGGCTCTTCTCCTTCCTCTGGGGTGGGGGGAGCGAACACCCCAAAAAAATATTTCCCCCCCCAAAACGCACCTCCTCGTAGTCCTCCGCGCGGTCCTCTCCTTCCCAATATGGGGGGGCAATTGGAGGTTTCTCAACCCCCCCCAGGAAACCTTCGGCTCTTCTCCTTCCGATTGGGGGTGTCAATCAAAAAAATGGGGGGGTCTTTCCGGATCGGGCCCCCCTCCCTCTCCGCCTCCTCCTTCCGATGGGGGTGTCAATCAAAAAAACGCCCCCCCCCCGATCTAGTCCTCCGCGTGGTCCTCTCCTTTTCAAGATGGGGGGGCTGGAATAAATTGGAGGTCTCCCCCCCCCCTAGGAAACCTTCGCCTCTTCCTTCCTGGGGTGTCAATCAAAAAAAACGGGGGGGGCAGATCTAGTCCTCCGCGCGGTCCTCTCCTTTTCAATACGGGGGTGTCAATCAAAAACTGGGGGTGTCAATCAATATGGGGGTGTCAATCAAAAACCTCTCCTTCCCAATATGGGGGGGCTGGAATAAATTGGAGGTCTCCCCCCCCCCTAGGAAACCTTCGGCTCTTCTCCTTCCGATTGGGGGTGTCAATCAAAAAAACGGCCCCCCCCGATCTAGTCCTCCGCGCGGTCCTCTC